GACCACCTTCACTTTTGGAATAAAAAATTTTTCGCTGGACGACAAAGAAGGAAAATAAGCAAAACAAACGCAAAAAAGATTATTGAAAGCATATATTTATGTATACGGCGGCATATATATTTAAAATAAAGGTTTTTAGTAAATGGTGTATTTGGAAGTAAAGCTTAGCAAAACTGTACGGATTTGATTAAGCAAATTATGTTATAACGTATAGCGAAGGAAGTAGGTCGATCCAGGCAGTAACGGCCGAGAACCAGAATTTTGAATATTTAAATAGTGAAAAATCATGCGAAATTTCCACTGTTATAAATCTGTTGTTTGAAGATGTCAGCAGTTGCGACTTCATAGGTTTTGAAGAGTAGATGTTGCTCTATCAGCTAGTGAAGGAATCGGGTCGATTTAAGAGATAGTCGTTGAAAACCAGAATTCTAAAACTTTACGCCATTTTTGCGTGTTTTTTGACTGTTGAGAGTTAAACTCTTATAAATCTTGAATGTGGAAGTGTATGATGTTGCGACTTCATAGGTTTTATAGAGTAAGGTTTGCCTTATCAGAATATGTCTTGTCCGTTCCGATCCATTGAAACACCTCCGAGATCCAGGCTCTTGAAAAAGCAGGTAAAAAACAGCTTTTTGAACTTCAACAGCTCGTAACTTCTCCAGAACTGCATGAATCATGTTGCGACTTCATAGGTTGAATTCTTCTTATCAAGAGCTTTCAGATGATATATAATATGTGGGAGTTTCGCGCCTCTTACGGCATATGCCCGGGGGGGGGGGAGACTTTTTAGGCCAAAGTCTCCCCCGGCAGCCTCCAGCCAATACATTAAAATGGGCGAGGGGGAGACCTTGGCCTAAAAAGTCTCCCCCCCCCCCCGGGCATATGCCGTAAGAGGCGCGAAACTCCCACATATTATATATCATCTGAAAGCTCTTGATAAGAAGAATTCAACCTATGAAGTCGCAACATGATTCATGCAGTTCTGGAGAAGTTACGAGCTGTTGAAGTTCAAAAAGCTGTTTTTTACCTGCTTTTTCAAGAGCCTGGATCTCGGAGGTGTTTCAATGGATCGGAACGGACAAGACATATTCTGATAAGGCAAACCTTACTCTATAAAACCTATGAAGTCGCAACATCATACACTTCCACATTCAAGATTTATAAGAGTTTAACTCTCAACAGTCAAAAAACACGCAAAAATGGCGTAAAGTTTTAGAATTCTGGTTTTCAACGACTATCTCTTAAATCGACCCGATTCCTTCACTAGCTGATAGAGCAACATCTACTCTTCAAAACCTATGAAGTCGCAACTGCTGACATCTTCAAACAACAGATTTATAACAGTGGAAATTTCGCATGATTTTTCACTATTTAAATATTCAAAATTCTGGTTCTCGGCCGTTACTGCCTGGATCGACCTACTTTCTTTGCAGTACGACATAACTAAATTTACTTAATAAAATCTGTAGAGTGTCGTTGAATTTCACTTCAAAATACACCATTTCATTGACACGTTTATTTCGAATATTTATGCCGCTGTGTTCACCCGCAGTGGGCGACGGCGACTTCCTAATAGTAAACTACATAGAATATGCTCTCAATACTTTCTTTTGCGTTCGTTTTGCTTAATTTCCTTTTTTTCAGTTTCAGCAAAAAAAAATCAAAACCCAAAAGTGAAGGCATTCGCGGCCGGCAACGACGTGAAAGGATAGCTCAGTTCTATGCTTCCCCCCCCCCCCCTCCCTACCCTCCCCCTCTATACCCCCGGTCAACGTTTTTGAGAGGTGAGTGTCCAGCATTACCACCCACTTTTGCTGGCCAGTGGTAGCCTGCGACCACCCCCCCCCCCGGTCGACATTTTTGGGAGGTGAGTGTCCGGCACTACCACCTTCACTTTTGGCAGCCAGGGGTAGCAGGGACCACCTTCACTTTTGGGGGACCCGGCTCCCCCTATCGCACCTCTGGTTGGAAGTAGGGAGAGGGATTGATCCGGTGTAGGCCAAAGGGAAGAAAATCAGCCGTATTTGGTAGACCTGTGGGAAGAAGTTCTGGGGAAGAGGTTATGTAGATATGTTTTTTAGGCCATCCCGCAGCCTGTTCCTTTACAGATGAAATGAGAGAAAGCCATTCTGCCAAAAAAATCGTCTCTATGCGCGCAGCCCATCACGAAATCTGTAAACTTAGAAACAATTTTTGGAATATCAAAACTGTTCCAGAAGTAGAAACACAAATAGGCGTAAGTTAGTTTTCTACAATGACCCTCGTTTTTCTCTCAAAAGTGAATAAACATCATACATTCACAATTTCACTCTCTCTTATCAAACGAATTAAAATTTTTAGTCGCAAAAGGTTCTGGAAGATCAGTGGTGAATAGCTCATTTTTTTATAATCTGAAGTGAAGAAACTCTAAAACAAAAATATTAAGGGAATATGCGGAATCGTGGAAAAGCGGACTTAAATAAAAAACGCACAAAAATGGTCCAATCCGATATTTCATTAATTCAAATGCCTGCCGTGTCAGTTTAGATGTTCCAAGCATTCATTCCGAACACACCGGTAATTATGTAACTTTTTAAAACAAATGCGCACGCGCAGGATCTTACATCCAAATGACACAGAACTTTTACATCGCAAAAAAGTAGTTATAAGGTAAATGTGCAAATTAATATTCATCGTTTGTCACCACTTTTTTCCTACTCAAAGATCACGCTGAACGGAGGACCTGCTGAAAAGCAAATTTTCACCTTAGAGTTTTTTCTAGGCGTGCTGCATCTCTCCTGAATTTTCCCTTCGAAGCACCTTGCCCGGTCAGTCGCAAGAGCGTTTTTTCTTGCCAATCTTGTTTTTTATGCATAGATAAGGATCTTGTGGAATTTTGCCGTGGTGCTACGCCTGCTGACAACATTTGTTTGAGTAATTTTGGGAGAATCATCTATAACACATCCTGGAATAAGGATCTTTCCTAACTCTTTACGCTCTCTATTCCCTTCATCCGCGCACTCATTTGCCCTCAATTTCCTGTACGACTCGCCTCTTCTGCCCTCGAACGTCATCGATTTTCGATCAGAACATTATCCGCCTGATTTTATCTGCCGCGGCGTTCGCGCGCGCCGGACGTCGACACCGCCGCGCGGCTAACCCGCCGGCCCCCGTTCTGCTCGGGCGCTGGCGACGGGCACCTGGCCCCGCCCCCGTACAGATCACCAGCTAGTCGCGCCCCCGTCCACCATCGCGCATTTCCATTGTTCGTCTCTTTGTCCGAATCCTGTTGCATGTTGTTGATGTTGTTGAATGATAACATCATTCTTAGATTCGCATGATTACCGTAGCATTTGGTCGTTAGACTTTGACTTTTGCTCTAGAAATCCGGTCTAAGCAAAAGCTCTTCCGCTACCGTATTCTTAGCAGCGCATATGGTAAGATATTCGAAGTGCTGGCAAAGGTGTTGACTCTGACGCCATAAGTGTGAGTATTTACAATCGGCTCTCCAGCCGTCTATAACTGGTTCACATACCTGTTTTTAGAGCGCGATTGTAGTCAGTAAAGAACAGCGTGTATACTTAGCACTTTACATACCAGAATAACGGCAGCAGAGAGTTGTCTTTTGAGTTTTCCTAAGACATGCCAACACAGTTTCCAAGCAGAAATCAAACAAAGCTGCAAATCTTTTTATCAAACCGGAAAGTTTTTTGTAATTTCTGGTTAACATAGTCATAGAAATATTTTTGAGCTGGAATATTCAGAGAAAATACTCAGTATCCACGCTCACTCTCGACTTTTTATTAATTTTTGTTTTGTCCTGCGCTCATACTATGACATCTTCTCTGCATCTACATTTAGTGTGGTGTAGATCTTGATTTGATGTAAATTTCTGTATGTTACAAAATGGAGCTTGTGTAAAAAGCACTTTCTGCCGCATTTAGCTTCTGATTTGTTGCTTTGCCAGTTCCGGTTATTTGTGAACATCTACTCACCCAGCAGCTTTTTCACTGAAGCAAAACCTGGCACTTACCGTACGTCTGAACTTATCTTCTGCTTTCTGTGTATGCCTCTAATACCCAGGCTACTGGTGGAAATTAATGTGTTTTTATTTATTTCATCTCTACTATTAACTACAGGCTCCTTGCACTTTCAGTCGGTTTGAGCCTTCTTTTATCGTAACCATTAAACGTAACAATTTCTCTATTTTTTTCTCGTCAACATTTCTAGACATCTAACATTTTTTCCGTTTGATACATATAATAATTAGCTACTCCTTATGATTTCCATTCATTTTTGTCCTTTTTTATGATTAGGTTGGCTATTAAAAAATTTCGATCGCTTTTGCTCTTACAAATGCTGCAGACAAATTTTTGTCCAGTATTTGGTATCTCTGGAAAGAACGCTTTAATGGGAATTGGAGTATGAATTCTGTTTGAGTAGAACTTCCCTCCGAGGAAAAAAACCACTAAAGTGTGACAAACAATTTTCTCATAGTGCGCAATGGTAAAAGATTTTCAAAGTGGCAGATTACAATTCTCATTGTTATCCACTAAATTTTCTGCCTCCAGATACCAAATCTTACAGCATCGAAACGAAGCTTAGGAAGTCAAAGAACTGAGCTTTTGGAAATTTAGCCATGCTGAGGCATAATTTTTACTGATCATAGAAAATTTTGAATATCTGATATGTAATAGCAAAAAATCAAGGATAGAAAACCACAAGAAAAAATTTTATGAAGATTTGCATGCCAAAATGAATTTATTTTTTAGCCAGCCTAATAGTTATAACCAAGCTATCTCTACCTTTGCAGTTCGTTGAAATGATTCGATCATTGCTCGCGGTTTTTCTCTCATAATATCCTCTTATCCCAATCCTTCTTATATATAAACTGGAAACATCCGGCGAGACGACGAATTCGTAATATACCCACTCTTTATATTTAAGATCAGCTGTTCTAACCTGCGCAGTCGATTGCATACACATCAACCATATTTTTTTCCACAGTATGATTTTTTCAGGGCTCGACGACAGTAGCGTCCACCTCGTAAGCAGCTTGCCATTGTCACGCTTTTCTGTGTGACTTTATTCAGAAATCCACTGCTTGAAGCTACTCGTGTCTCCCATCAACTACCATACCCCAATGTATCAAAGTGGACATGCATCTCTACAGTAAACTAATATTCCTATTTTTATTACCATATTATGCGTTACCGGTTTCGACTTCACGACAGTTACCTATACAAAGTGAGTTGTTGTTGTTTTTGCACTTTTTCAGGACTATTAGTGGGTTACTGATTTTGGAGCAAATTTGTTATTTTCTTCCGCTATAAACCAGAACTGTCTACTAAGGAATGATGAATATCAATTTTTTTTGTATCTTTTCTGAACCGCAATAATTTGCTCCTTTCTTATCTTTTGAAAAACCAGTAAATGTCACACATGTTTTTTCTTCCAATTAATTATCGCTTTTTTGGAAATTATTTCTGTCTCTGCCACATCTTACAAACTTGCACCTCTTTCACATCCACGAAACCGGAAGATGTTAACATTTGTATTCCCAAGGCTTTCCGCTTATTCTCTCCCCCCCCCCCCCCCCTCCCGGCCAATTTTCCTTTGCAAATCTCTTTTATCCTCACCAGTAATGCTCCCTTACCGTCTCTTTTATTTTCATGGATGATGCTCTAAACATCCGACGATCCAGCGTTTTTTCCCGTCTTAATGCTCGCCATTTCGTCGCAAACGGTCAAGGTTACAGCCGAGTTTGGTAATTACACAACGATATCGATCGCTTAAGCACCATTCAAAGGTGATTTCATTGATCGATAGGTATCGTAAACGAGTCGTAACCAGTCTCTTCCTGAGGAAAAATGTTGAGCATTGGATACCCTATTTTTGCAACAGAGCTTATTCTATTATTATTTATAGTTTATCTAATTTATCGCTTTGTAAGGGCCGGCTGTTTAGTACTTTGAGGAGTAGAGTTGTAGAAAAATCGCTGGTTTCATTTCCGCTGGTCCACTTGTAGTTAAACTTGTTGTGGATTATTTTTTTGGATATTTCAACCTCGTTCACGTTAAAAAGCTTGAATTTTGGCTTTATCACACGTTTATGTGGTCATTGACCAGTAACTTCTATCATTCAAAGTTTCTATTTAGTTAGTATTTTGAGGAGTAGGGTTGTACAAAAATCATGCTGTTCTGCTCCACGGCATTTCGTAAATTTACTAGAGACTACTAGCTTGGCTATGAACCTATTTTTTGATCGAGGAAGAAAGAGACAGGGCCTTGCAGTTGGCAATCGGATCCTTGGAAAACTAGCTCCTCTTTGAGAATTTGAAATTCGACTTTGCTTTTGGAAGAGGGAACCTTCTCAGGTTCGAAAGCTTGCATCGAAGATCATCCATAGTGATGGTAGTATGTACTACATAATACTGCTTGTTCTTGAATCGGGGGTACCCTTTGCTCCCAAAAGAAGGAATTTTCGTTGGCAATTTTCGTTGCCGCATTATTCAAGAATTTCTAAACATACTGCTGAAAACCGGGGTTTGAGCTAGATCTGCGCCGGGACCATTATTTCCGAAAGCACTATGAGATTTTTTTCACTGTCTTGTACCTCCATCTCGTATTGGACACACAGTATGCTCGTATCCCTGCGGAAACGTCTCGATTTCTTGATCTATTGGTTGTTGGGGGCGAAGTGCCCGATGGCCGTGGTGCGATGACCGTATTTAGCGCGACGAACTCGTTCCGACGCTGATTTCTTCATGTTTTGTGGTTTTTTCCGACGTTTACAGGCTCTGCGCGCGGCTAAACGCGAGCGCATCCAGCCCCGCGTCGATGATCAATTACGCCTGGCCAACACTGACTGCCGAGTTGTCTTCTTAGTCCTCGCCCCAATGATACCTGTTATGAGGGGGAAGGGGGCTGGAATTGATGACATTAGGACAAATGCCTATGTAATTATAGTCAAAGAACAAGCACACGCGCTCTGATGACCGTCAGCTGATGATCCGTCATTATTGCTGATGGCGCTGATGCGATTTGAATGCCTCCGAAGCCTGTTCCTGCGCGCTTACTAAAAAGTAAGAAAAATAGATGAGGAAGTTATGGAAAATCAGGAGATACTATCAAAAATGATTGATTGTTTCGCACAACGAATGTTCGTAACTTTGCAACAAAAAAATGTTCCATATGTAAACATGCAGACTATTGCGGTTGTGCGGGCCGTAAATCAGAAAGAGAAAAAACAGAAAAACTAAATGTGGTAAATCGCTACTTACTGGAAATGTTTCTTGCTCGGTTTCTGAGCACAAAGTGCGCATAGAATAGCAAAAATCTGTTGCTGTCTACAGGATGTGGCCCGGCAAATCTGTGAGGGGGTGGGGAGATGAGGGGCTTAGGTTCGTTGTTCGCCTTAGATCAAAATGTCTTCTGGTAGTCTGGTAGGGAAGTACTGTTTTTGGTAGCCAATCTGCAAGCCATAACAAAAATTAGAATGCAAATTTTTGATTCTATGCTTGGTTATTTTTAATTGCAGCTGACCTTTGTTTTCTTGGGTTTATTTCGCTCCAGGGAAAAAGAAATGGTCTCCGACTAGCAGTAGTAGTAGCTCAAAGAAAATTTCAACCTATAAACACTGTTCCAGCTATATTTATAAAATCCCCTTATCTTTAATTCGAATCTATCATCCCCTCGAAGCAGATTTCTTGCCAATCAAAAAGACACCTGTCCATGTGTGGTTTTTTTATTGAAAACCCTTAATTAGTCGCTAATGTATCTGGTTTCGTCTCTATCGTAGAACAAATGTGCCGATTCAAGTTGAAAAAGCGTGCAGCAGAGAGCAATGGTGAGACCTCAATTAGCTTTCAGAACATTTTTCGTTCAGGGATTTTGCGCGTAAAATCACCAAATTTGGATTCCGTAGAACCTGTTTCACATTTTGTAAACGGTGCATTTGTGGTTATTTGCTTCGGTGAACGGGAATTCGGCAAAGTGGGAAAATTATCCTAGAAATGACATGACCAAAGTCTTTCAAATTTGTCATTTTAGCGATATTAAACATTCCATCGATTACCGTAAAATATGTATCATCATTGCAACATTTATGATTGAATAAAACTCACCCATCTTCAAAAATTATTTTTGGGTGGCAGTGGCGGTCCCAAGATCTCCGTTTTGGGAGGGAAGGGGCCGGTGCAGCAAAAGTTCGTTTCAAATAAAGGTGCACTCACTCCGAAAATTTTTTTGGGATGCTTCTCAAATTTCCCTGAGGGCCCACGATCCCGAATTAGAAGAAGGGCTCTTGCGTGCTACGCTCTTGAAAATTTTTTACAAGACTTAGATGAATTTTAAAAATTCTGAAAGTTATTCAAATTGTTTACAAGTACGAAAAATCACTAGCACATTTTTATAACCCACGTAACTAACCTTCGAAATTTTCGTGGCCCACTTTCGGAAGCCCCCGCCTCCTTTCTCTCCCCCCCCCCCTCTCGGTCCGCCGCTGCATGATAGGTAATTTGCATTTGCAGTTCGCAATTTGAATTTTTCAGCCGTATCAATAAGTAAATGAGTTGAACCATTAATTCTGCTTTGTCCTATTAAGACGATACTGGACAAAATTGCTTTGCACTGAATGTTATTCAAGCTAACCGTCATAACTTCAGCAGTTTATGGAGTACCAAATTATTACATTTGAACGAACTGTACGAATCCTAACAGTGATGGAAGGTGTAAATTGCGTCAGCAGTAAATTTCTCTGTGTTTACCACAGTTATATCAAGATGTAATTACAGTGTAAATGTCACACAATACTGCGCGATTATGAAATTGCCGGTTTTCTACCTGTGACGCCATTCGAGCAAACATTTCTTCAAGGTTATAAATGTTCCCCAAATGATTCTCACCTTGAATGATGGTGATAGCAGGGTTCTTTTTTTGAATCACATGTGACGTGCATCGAGTGACAAACACAATTCATTATTAAAGTAATGAAAACGAAGGAATTGGAAGCACAATAGGGAGATTTGGAGTGGATAAAAATTGCTAGATTTTATAAACCCTATTTTCGAAAACGAGCAAGACAGCGCCAGCATGCGGAAGCTTTTCTGCCAGGATTATCTTCTTTGAAATCTAACAACTATAAGGTTGGCTAAAAAATATTAATTGGGATTTAACACAAACTGTAATTTGAGAAAAGATCTTGCGATATTCACTTGGGCTCTGAATGCTTGGCAAATCGAGAAAAACTATCGCCGCCGATGCTGTTCATCCAAGATAACATTTTTCGAAGGAATCGTGTTGATGTAAAACTTTGAAATTCCGGGTCACGGTATAGTAATTTATTTTGAATTCCAGCAATTTTCTTTGCATTTCATTCTACAGTATTTCCGGTGCTGTTCATGCTGGGTTTTTTCAATCCCGGTGTCATTCTGTGTCCTGCTTTTCTCGCTTATCTACAAATTATTTATCACCTTCTTGATGCATGTTTAGAGCTCGGCACGAGGCTGTTTACTTGAAAATGCAAAAATCGAAGTTCCTCTTGACTTTTGCGAATTTTCACGAAGTCCCCTTTGACCCTAGACCATAATTCCTAAAAAATCTCCAAAAAACGAAACGTCTACCAAAAAGACGTCGCTAATTTTGTGTTTTAATTTTGTGTCTTTTCGACCACAAAAACGAAACCCCCTTTGCTTTTCGTCCCAAAAACGATATTCAGCTTTATAAGCCAACTCCGAGCCCTGTGTACGTTTCAAATTTATTCTTGCCATTTGTATCTTTATAATTTGAATCATTCTAAGCTCAACCTTGCTACCATCCCAAGCATTTTTCCCTCCTTACGAGGAGTTTTCGTTTCTCAATGACTTTTCAAAGCTACTGTCATTCTACAGAAATACCCTCTTCTAAGTGAATTAGTGATGGCAGCGCGTCTAAGCTTCAGTCAAATTTTTGCATAACGGTAAAGCTTTTTTTACTGTTTTAGACTTAGGCCCCTAATGAGCAGTTTGATTTGATTTTATGCGTAAATACCCTTTATCCAAACTTAGCCCGTCACCCGCCCAAAGCCACATCATGCTCTGTGCAAAAGTCATTCCGAAACGGGTTTTGAGTTTCCACGCCTGTGCAGCGTCTCGCACTGCATCGGTCATCTATTCGTTTCTTCGATTTCCATCCGTTTCGAGGGGAAGCAAAGTCACTGGGAATTGATTTAAGAGCGTAGGGGGGAAGGGGACGGGTGGTATGTTGGTATGTAAGGTTTTGAGGTAATGAATTATTCAAAACTCTGTAAGGGTCCTGGACCTGATCAGGTCCTCGCCAAGATTAAGGCTCCTTGCCATTCAAACCTTAAGTTTTTAAAATGTTCTCTGTCAAAGTGAACTGCTAAGGCTTTGCGGACAGATTCACATTATGCTGTTCTGTGTAGATCTTCTTACAATTAGATTAATTTTCCAACATTTAGTTGACTCTCCCCCATCGATCTCTACGCGAACTCGTCCGCAACCGTTATCTGCTTCGGTGAACAGTGCATCGACCGTCTGTGGCGAGAATGACTTTCGTTGCAATGATGGAAAATGCATTAGGGCTGAATGGAGGTTAGTGACGGGTTTTGAGTAGTAAAAAACATGGTTCATTTTGGGAGGACATGTGTTCGCTACTAGTGGAGGTTCTTTGAATCTTTGTTACTCAAGTACCTGCAGTATCGAACTAACGATGAAGCAAGGTTGTCGTACACAAATTGACAATCTTGATACCTCAGAAAAGCCCTTATTGCTCATATTTAACTTAAATCGTACGATTAATTTCAGGTGTGACGGGTCAGGCGATTGTGCCGACGGCGAGGATGAAAAAGATTGTCGTGAGTTTCATGACCTTTCCTTTTGCAAATTCTGAGATGGAAACCCCAGTAATAATTCAACTTTTTGGAGTCGCTTTTACCGAGAAAAATCACTGCTATGACTGTTTCCATCGCGGCGCTTTGACTACTTGAATTACCCTGCACATTTTCGAACCGCTTTGAAGATTCAATCTGTAAAAATGGGCTCATATGCTCTAATTATTTTATGTAAAAATGTATGGTAAATAGGATAGTCTAGATTGATTCATAATTCTTGCACTGAAAATTTGGATCATAATTCTCCCCTTCGTAGTAATCTTTTACTTTGGCACATATCACATAGAGAAAATCTTGCTCCAAAATATTCAAAACAAAACGTTTTACTGCCATATCGCAATGATACAAGCTGATAACGGAAAATTCCCAAAAAGTGGTTTTTTGAATTTCCTGACTAAATTAAGAACGTCTACTAAACTTCCATTCTAGTGCTTTTGGTTTTAAGACATGATTTTTCTATCTGCGAGAAGTTCGTGATGATTGAGCGTTTCTACGACTGGTTATGATTTTCAAAATTTCACATTCAATTTTTCATGGTGTATCCAAAAAATTCCACTGCTAACGATGAGATTCAAGTTTTTGGAACGAATTTGCGCAAATCTTATGTTCCAACCTAATGTTGATTTATGAGCTATTTAAAAAGTCCAACAGTACCACAGAATTGCGTAAATGAGAACGTTTCTGAAGCCCTTGTAAATTCCATCGACTCGTTAGTTTCGCTAACGATTGGCCAGAGAACGATATGGTGGAAGCTTGTAGCTACCGTATTCAGCGCATCCCGGCTGCAAAGCTGACCAATGGCAGTGCGACAAGTACGAATGGCACAGCGTGTCGTGCATAGCTGAGTACCAACGATGCGACAACATTACGGACTGCGCTGATGGATCTGACGAGAAGGACTGCCGTAAGTATTCACATGCAGTTGATCATTGCATTTTTTCTCGAAAGTTCCATTGTCAATTGATTTTCGAACGTTTGGTCAAAAATCGAGCGTTTTTCAGCGGCCAATCCTGTCGATTGCGACAATCATGACGGCAGTGTGTTCATGTGCGCCGATGGTCGACAATGCTTTGATGTGTCGAAAAAGTGCGATGGCAAATATGATTGTCGAGATTTGAGTGACGAAAAGGTAATGTGTTTATCGCACATTTCCTCTACTGTGCGAGAGAAAATGAAGGGGAAGGGGGACGGGGAGGGGAGGGTGGGAGAAGGGAGATTTGAAAAAAGCTGCTTATGTGGAGTAGAACAGAGATCATGCAGTGATAAAAAAATTTTTTTGGAGTCTTCGGCCACAAGAAAACTTCAGCCTTTTTTCCTAATCTGTAGTTCACTTGAAAAAATAAAATTTGATAAAGAAAGGGAATCCTAGACACAGTATTCATGGGCATAAACTGCAGCACTTTGTGGTGGTCCTTCATGAGATTTCAAATAAAATCGGTCTCAGCAAGCAAATGAAATTTTCTCATTTTTTACCCTTTACGTATTTGTAATCACACTTCGATTTTACTCCAAAACTCTCATAACCTCTAAAAAATCGTTCAGCGCCATTGTCACTCCATTTAGTGAAATTTGTCCTAGCTATTTATTTTGCAGTTTGCGTATTTACTATCTAATTTACTTATCTTAGGACTCATGCTCACACAATCACACCGCTTGCTTCCAATATCAGTTCCGATGTGCTGATCAAACTCAGTGCATACAAAAATCATGGGTATGCGATGGCTCGAAAGATTGTGCCGATGGGTCAGATGAGCCGGAAACATGCGGTCAGTTTACCTGCTTTTGAAGAAGTTAAAAAACTCACATCTTGTTCGCTGGCAGAGATCGTTGAATGTTGATCAATTTATTTATTAATGTTTAATTATAGTTACAAAAAATTTCAGAGTTCAAACAATGTTCGGCTAGCGAGTTTCAGTGCAAGAATAAACGATGTCAACCTAGGAAATTCAAATGTGACTACTACGATGACTGTGGTAAGTGGGTGTCCAATGTCGCAAGAATATATCGATTTTTTCCATAAAATACGAAGTGTGCAAATTTTCGAACAATCTATACTAGTTCCTTCCCTTTCCAGGTGACAACTCAGATGAAGAAGATTGTGGGGAATACCGGTGTCCACCCGGGAAATGGCACTGTAACGGCACAGGACATTGCATCGATGAAATCAAACTTTGCGATGGCGTCAAAGATTGTGCTGATGGAGCCGATGAAGAGCATTGCTGTGAGTATCTGTTTCCTAGAATTTAATGTACTCTTAATCGAATTTTCCTCTTGGATGTCAGTACTAACCAATTTTATCAATTATCTTTAGCACAAAATCTGTGCCCATCTTTGGGATGTCAAGCCGGATGTCATGCATCACCACATGGAGGAGTTTGTACTTGCCCGAACGGCTATAGGCTTGATGAACGATTTCATAGGACGTGCTCGGGTACAGTTTTTTCCCTTAATGATTTTTTGAACTTTCTTGAAAGTGAGATGAACATCTCAAAAGAGGATCTGTTCAACTTCCTCTGACTTTTTCTTTTGCAGACATCAATGAATGCGCTGAATTTGGCTACTGTGATCAACTTTGTGCCAACCATCGTCCAGGCTTCACATGCTCCTGCATAGGAGAATGTTATACTCTGATGGTTAGTTTATTTATTTATTTATGAACTACACTTGTCAGTGCACCGAAAAAGAAGAAGAAACAAACAGTGAAGTCAAATGTTGCAACAGTACATGTTCCCGTGAAAGGAATAATCCAAGGCGCACTCTTGCTGGGGTGGTCAGGTCGTCCTCTATCTAAAGACGGTGGGGCGCCTACTACCGAAATCCTGGTCCCTATCCCGGACGCAAATTTGCTAAAGAAAATCAGGGCTCGGCTGAGCAACTTAACCCTTAACGAACGAATTCGCGTGGGACCCTGGGCGGGCGAATAGGGGGGATCTCGAGGCAGAAGGACCACCAATCCTCAACTTCCTTGAACGGCTATTCCCCGTGGAGGAGTGGCTTAATATACAGCTGAAAAATTTCGGGAACGACTGGCATGAGAATACATTTGCAAGATTGCTTAGGCAAACAAAAATGCTCAAAACGCGAATCAACTGAATAAGAAATAAAAAAAGCAACGAATATCACTAAGCAGATGGCGGGGTAAGCGCAGGAGGCTACTTCGTATCAACAGTCGTCGAAGAGAAACTGAGTTGACGCCATCTAAATATCTGGAATCTTTAAAGTTTTCAGAATATCGATTCGGGCTAATCTTCTTCGGAATAATTTTGCATTGCTGCTGGCATTAGTTGCTAATATCAAAGGTCTTGCTAATCTAATTCGCCCCGTTCAGATGCTTCACGGCCCAGGACAGGATAATCTGACCACACGCGGCTACTGTATCTCACAGAATGCGGAGAAAATGAAGCTTTTCGTTGCTAGGAGAGAAGGCCTTTATAAGTGAGCGGGGTTTTGGCTTTTTCCTTTTTTTCACTCAATAGATTGTTTGTAGACTCGAACCAAATGGGCCTAATGCTGAGCCAAAGCGATTAGCATCCGGAGAATTTATTTATGGCATAGATTTTGACTATGGAGATCGTAAGGTCAGACATCTTGTCACATAAAATTTTTTTGGATTACTTGGTAAAAGTGTTCGAAATTTAGGTGTTTTGGACAGATCGGCTATCACATTCCGCCTTCAGCGCTGATGTTGATGAGGAGGGAGATATTTCTCATATCAAGTTAGCTTTTTCTCCTCGAAAATGTATGACAGCTTGATCCGTGACTTATTTAGAAAACTCGGCTTGAAATCGCTGGTCTATCCCCGATCTTTGGCAGTAGACTGGATAACCAATAACTTGTACATCATCGAGTCAGGTGAGTAGTTTTATTGCGAATATTTATGCTTGAGATTAGACATTGTTTCTAAAAAATGATTCCAACGTATCCAAACGCAAAAGGCAAATTTTATGGGAGAATTGTCTTTTTTATTCCGTCCAGACATGTTGCAGTTTTTGGATGATGTTACTTGAAACCCACTTAATACAGATTGTTATCAATCATCTTGCCTTTTTTGTCAATGTTTTGAGCAAATTGCTACTTTTGCATTTTCCCCAATGTTTCATACCTCATTTTTTCTTTTATCGCCCTGAGACTAAGGTCTGGCTGGTCTCGTGTTTTGTCTGTCTGTCTTCTTAATTCGTTTTCCTTTCTGGTGTATTTATTTCTCAAGTGTATTTACAGAATGAAAAATAACAAAAATACCTATAGGCTCGCGAAGAATTGACGTCTCCTCTTACGATGGCGACCGCCGCACTGTGCTCCTTGCTGATGGTCTTACCCTACCGCTCGATATCGCACTGGATCCTTTGAGAGGGTCAGTCAGCTTCTATATCCAGACAAATAATTTTCACAAGTTCATGTTTGTCTTTCCTAGCCAATGTCACACATTTTTAGCGAGATGTTCTTCACAAATCAGTTCAAAGTGGAAGGAGCTGCTATGGATGGCTCAAGAAGACGAACTCTGATCAACACCCATACTCATCAAGTAAGAATCCTAAGACTTAGCTCTGTTTGGATTCTACACTTTCCCTTTGAGGTATCCGGCATTGTGGTGGATATCCCAGCGAAAAGAGTGTACTGGGTAGACCCGAAGGTGGACCGGGTCGAAAGCATGGACTATCAGGTAAGAGGAGGCATGATGAGTTTTGAAGGATTTGACAGCAAAAGGAAAATTTCTAATATCTAAATATTCAAAACTCAAAGTTTGTGAGTAATTTTTCCGCGAAGTATGTGTCGAATAGAAATCTTTGTGAGTGAACCAAAAAGCGCCGAACTCTACACACATACGTAGTTTTCAAGAGTCAAAAAAAGTCACGGGTTTTCAAATTCTGTAGCTCGAATTTCTTCGTCTTTGAAGATGTAAATTCGAGATTGGATATGGAGTTCAAGCATACAAACTTTTTTTTTCAAACAATTGTATAAAATCTTCTCATCTGTTAACATAATCTCAAGACTGCCTTTTTATAACTACAAAGTTAGAACCAGCATTAATTTTAGCTGTTGAAACATCATTAGGGTACAGAATTGTTGTAATGTTTGAAACAAATTAAGAAATTACTGCGGGGAGTCTGCACCATTAATTTTAGGGTAACGACCGACGTATCGTCGCTCAAGGCATGAACAATGTGCCGCACCCGTTCGGCCTTGCACTATTCGATCAGTACCTATACTGGACTGACTGGACTCGACTGGGAGTTGTCAAGATTGAGAAGTTCGGCTCCCCATCGGAGATCATCTGGTTAGTCAAGTTGCTAGCATTTTCCCCAAAACCTTTTGCAAGAATAACCGATTAGTAACTCAACGTTTATTGCCACAGTTCTGCTTTTTTTTTGCGATTTTCTACTCGTATCGCAATGGCGAATGTGACTTTTTAGGTCCAAGAAAGAAAACAACGTTTTCCCTATGGGTATCTCAGCCTACCATCCTATGGCTCAGCCAGGTGAGCAAAATACTTCAAGAAAAATCTGGAGGTCTTGCGAATCTTCATGACCTCTTCCGTAGAATTTGAAACAATTTTGTCTCAACGACGTTGTGAAACACCAATATATTGTCTCGAAATCACTGCATATTGAGTATCCTCACCTCCTTCAGGACCTGGTCAGAGCGATTGTCTGGCACAAAAAATCGAAAATCCATGTGCTACAGCTGAATGTGAAGGAATGTGCGTTTTGTCAAAGGATGCGGGTGGCTTTGGAGTCGGCTATAGATGTACTTGTCCTATTGGCCAGGTGATCGATTTATCGATTGATTGATACGCTCATGTTATGATGCTGCTTTTTTTAGAAGTTGGTTGAAGGCAAGAAATGTGTTGATTCGATCGACTATTTGCTATTCTCAAGTAACAAAATAGTGCGAGGAATTTTCCCAGATCAGGTGATCGATCAGTATAAATAGGGCAATATTCATAACTGCTATCTTCAACAGGCAGTAGGATCTTTGGTGTTATGGTATTCAGGGCAATATGCATTCAGGTACAGAGCTCCCTGTCTGAAGCCATTTTGCCGATTTCTCCCATCTCTCAAAGAAGAATTGGAATGTACTTTGAAGTCGAGTGCGATGTACATGGAAATAGCTTCTTCTATGCCGATATTATGGATAACACGGTATATCGGTATGTTTTGTGCAATTACGGACGTACTTCCAAATTTCAACCTTAGCTGACTCTACGGTTTTTTTAGAATTCGTCCTGATGGCGAGGGGGCAGCACCTGTGCTAGTGACTCATAATGATGGACTTGTGTCCATGTCCTTTGATTGGATTAGCAAACAACTCTATTACATCGACAACATTAGAAACAGTCTCGAGGTACTGTAGAAGTACGGTAGGATTACTTTAGGTATCTAACATGCTCTTTTTAGGTGGTCAAAATATCCGATACTGGTCTAGTTCATCCGGATCAACTAATCCACCGTCAATTGCTGAAGAACCTTCGTGATCCCGTGTCTGTAGTCATACATCCATGGAAAGGTTATTTATTCTACGCTGAAGCGCAGAGACCAGCTAGGATCTACAGGTGAGCGGATCAATACGATTTTGACTTAGAGAGGCATTGCTCTAAGTTATTTGAAAGATGATGGGATCTTAATGCAGAACGATAGCGTGGCTCCTGACTAACACAATAGTTCAAATCCGATCGAAAAAAATGGATCTGGAAGCGAGAAAAACGCTTCGAACGAGAAAGGGTGGTACTCCGACCACGCCCCTTGGCAAGTTTTGACGTGGCGAATGCAGTAGATTGAACGCAGTAAACCGAAGTCAAAACTTGTCGAGAAGGCGTGGTCGAAGTACTGCCCCTTCTCGTCCGAAGAGATTTTTTCGCTTCCAAATCCACCTTTTTCGATCGGGCTTGCACTGTTGCGTTAGTAAGAAGCCACGCTATCGTACTGCATCAAGATCCCACCATACTTCAGTTGCCCAGGACAATGCTTTTGAGAACCAATGTCTGGTCAAATTTCTGCCTTCTTACAAGAAGTATGCGCATTCATGTCCATCGTTCAGATGTCATATGGATGGCACAAACTGCTTGATGATCCGTAACACCACGCTTGGACGCCCGTCCGAAATGGCCATAGATTTCGAGCAGGACCGAGTTTGCTGGGGCGACACGCTCTTGAAAATGATCAGTTGCATGGATTTCGATGGCACCAAGGTAGAATGTGGTCATCAGCGACCCTTAAATTAGGGCTCCAAACCCACATAAATTCCAGGTCGTTGCCCTGCCTGTCGACAACCCGATCCCGGTCGCATTAACAGTTATGGGCGATCATTTGTACTATGTGCATCAGCGTCCATACTCTATTCGACGCATCAGCAAACGCAATGGCGGCACTGGACGAGTTATCCGTGAATTCTCTGGAGAGGAGAGAAGTATTTTCAGTTTGAAAGGTGGGAAGAATTCTTGAGAATTTTATGCAGATTTGAAAACCCGTCTTGCAGCTTGTACTCGATCGAATCAACCGATTCCGGAAGACTCACAGGATCATCCGTGTCACGCATCAAAATGTGCTCAATTGTGCTTCGCTGTGCCAAACAACTCGTCCGCAAATGACGCCCCACAGCTTGCCGCACAGTGCGCATGCAGGCAAGGTAGGAAAGAGGGGGCGTGGCTTTACGCAGCGCGGATGTAGGCCTTTTTACACCATTCGTGCGCGATGCTCCTTTCGCACGCGGCGTCACAGAAAGGACGAGTTCCATAACATGGTCACCGGGGAAGCATTCATGTTGAATATGTTAGATGTATGAAACTGAACAAGCATGGCTGCCCGCCAATTCGTCCGGTTCCAAGCCTTTGCTCCGCCCTGGTCAAAATCTAGTCAATCGTAGCCAAATGCTGGCCAATCAGAGTTGCGCCGCTATGGCGAGCTCTTTGAAAAGCCCGTTGGCTCTAACACAGACTTGATTTCGTTGCAGTGCTTCAAAGGAAACAATTCGAAAATATTTTTATTGGAACTGGTCTAGTGCATTATGAGAAAAAATACGGGCACCCCATCGCAAAAATTTTCTATTCTAACAGGAATTCGAGAGTAACAAAAAAGAAACAAAATTCATGTAGTCATGTTGCTTCTAACAAATAATTATGCTGGCAAATTTGTACATTAGCGTTTTTTAGGATTCAAAATCAACCCCGAAACTGGTCACACCTGCCAGAAGGACAGCACCGAACAAGAAGAACCGCTCTGCACTTCGAATGCTACCCAATTCCAGGTTAATTAGCCACAATGCGAATGTCCTTTTTGTTAGAGTACACGAACGCCTAGCTAATGATTTGCAGTGCAAAAATGGCCGATGCATTCCGCGTGAGTGGAAGTGTGACGGTGAAGACGATTGCTTGGATGGGTCTGATGAAGTGGATGATAAGGGAGAGAAATGCTATCATGAGGTGAACTCTATGAGTAAAAGTCATGTTGGCTTGGCTAATTTTTGTGATTTCTCAGACCGAATGTCCAGAGAACACGATTCGCTGCAAGAATACGAAAAAGTGCATTCCATCCCAGTACGGATGTGATGGTGACAACGACTGCGGTGATTACTCGGACGAGGATGCCCAGTACTGTAAAGATGGCCAGAAGCCAGTCTGCTCGGCCAAGAAGTTCCAGTGCGATAACCACAGGTGATTTGTTTGTTTGCGATTCAGCCAAGCACGTTCGAATGAAATAGCTACATCACCGCTTATCTTCCAGATGTATCCCCGAACAATGGAAATGTGATTCGGATAACGACTGCGGAGATGGTTCGGACGAAAAACTGGAAATGTGCGCGAATGCGACTTGCGCGGTTAATCAGGTAAGATACTGTAAGCTGATGCATACTGTAGCTTCAGGGCTTTACATTTTAGTTCTCGTGCGCAAATGGACGATGTATACCGATTTACTGGCTTTGTGATGGTGACAATGATTGCTATGATGGTACAGATGAGGATAAAGAACGGTGTCCACCGATGTTGTGTAGAAGCGATCAGTTTAGGTAAATTTTGTGAATTACTACATTTACTTATTCATGTTTTTCACAAAAGTGCGCCAAAAGATTGAAAAAACTTCCAAAAATTATTTCAAAAAATCAGCAGGTCGGAAAAGACCAAGATTTTTGCTGTAAAAACCAGGTCGTTCTTCTCCTCCAAGAAGTGAAGGTGCCTCTACCATCTTCTCCTGTACCCGAACGCAGTGCGGGAAGACAGAAGGGTACCAGCGCTTGGCTGACCAACTTAACCCGAGATGGACGAACGTTAGGGAGTTAGGGACCTTGGGCAGTAAGCATAGAGACCTCTAGGCAGGCTTTCTCGAACAAGCAAGATAACTCCCCATGAATTATTATGGGGAAAAAGCTAAAATAATTGTCAAATCCAAATTCAATTCCAATTTTTCTCCACACAATAGAACACTGAGATTTTTCTGATACAAAAAAATTTGGTATAGTTTTTTCGCAACCTTATCTCAAAAATTTTCAAATTTCAACGACATTGCAGATGCGCGAATGGACGTCAATGCATTGCTCTGCGCAATCACTGCGATGGTCAAAGTGATTGTGAAGACGGATCCGACGAAGACAGCTGCTTATTACAGGTTTGAAGAAGCTTACAGGCCATCTTCCCCTTGTCACAATCATCTATAATTTTTTTCAAAATCTAGCAGCCACTTTGCTCTTTCCCCTTGCGACTAATACTGCTTATTTAAGCCAAATGCGTGTACCCCAGATCAGTTCCAGTGCAAAACTAGCGGTATTTGCATACCTGCCGCTTGGAAATGTGATGGACAGAAGGTATGGTTTTTTTTCTTTTGATTTGGTGCACTCTTCCCTAATTTCAATGTTCAGGATTGTGATGATAGTTCTGATGAACCAGCATTCGGCTGCAGCGGAAACACTTGCAAAGAAGACCATTTCAAGTGTAACAATGGAAGATGCATTCTTAACGTGAGATTTCTAAGCATTTATCTTACGAGAATGAAAATTTTTTGCCGATGGCGCAAGACGGAAAACTGGTTGTTTTTTTCTGGTTTTCGTAAAATCTCGATATTAGAACAAAAAAGGTAAAAACTCATTCGATCTTTGCAAAACAGATCTACTTTTTTTTCTACCGTTCGATCTTGTAATTTCTTTTTCTTCTAGTCTTGGCTCTGTGATGGTGAAAATGACTGCGGCGATGGCTCTGATGAATCCGAAGAACATGGTTGCAAGAAGACTCAACCATCGAGACGTTGTCCATTCGAGCAAGTCAGTGACGCTTTCTTTGAATTTTTGTTCTAATTTCAAAATTGACTTTTTTAGGTGGCTTGCGAAGGTTCACCTGACGTTTGCATACCATTGACTGAACTATGTGACGGAAAAGAACAGTGTCCTGGCGGTACCGATGAAGGCGGGAGGTTTGTAGGATCCATGAAATTTTGTTCCTGTAGTTACAGTAATCTTTATCTTGCAGGTGTGCACGCGATCTCTGCTCTGCAGATCGTGCCGGCTGCGCTTTCAAATGCCATAATAGCCCGAATGGGCCACTGTGCAGTTGTCCATTTGGTGAACAGGTACGGTAACTTTTGCTCCAGCAAATTGTTAGAAATTATTGTTTTATTGTTGTTTCTTGCAGTTGGTAAATAAAACCAAATGCGAGCCGGAGAATGAATGCTTAGATGCTAGCTCTTGTTCTCAAAAGTGCACAGATGAGAAACATGGCTTTACTTGCAGGTTAGCTAGATTCTTGCCTCGATTTCTTTGCTCTAAGAGTCCCTCTGCTGTATTTAAAACTTTTCAGCTGCGAAGAAGGCTACACACTTGATGCTGATAAACGTACTTGCAAAGTTACCGAAGGCTCTCAAGACATGCGTGTCTACATCTCAAATCGCAACAGGTATCAGTGATTCTCCTCCTAGAGAGGACAAAACCTTTTGTTATAATTTTATGTTCTAGATGAGTCTCTTCAAATTTGAATGAGTGTAGTAAGAATCGATGAAGTCGTAAAAGGTTAAAACCATTCTTCTGGAACTTTCTAACACCTGAGAATTTATATACAATAACTGAAATATAATATTTTGATAGTATTTTGAGCAGGGGATCGCAAATTTTATCGTTTACGAACAAGAAGTCATTTTAAAGGATATACTGGAGCGACAATCACTTGGACAACTGGCGAACCTTTGCTGCAGCGGTTGAGAATGCCATAGCAATTGCGTGGGACAGCGTGACCGACAGAATCTACTGGTGAGTGCCTGAAAATCAAACTTTTTCATTTCAATTCCCATATCATGGTCACTCAAACCATGTTTTAGGTCCGACATCCGTGAGAAAAAGATTTTCTCAGCCACCAGAAATGGTACCAATGTTACCACATTCATCGGCGAGGGTCTTGATATCACGGAAGGAATTGCTCTTGATTGGGTCGGCCGCAATCTGTATTGGGTTGATTCTAGTCTGAATACCATTGAGGTGAGAGGTGACATTCTACCATAATGATCTTAAACTGCATATCCTATTTTTCCAGGTAGCAAATCTTGAAAACCCCGCTGCTCGTGCTCTCCTGGTGCATGAGAATGTTAGCCAACCCCGTGGTATTGCTGTAGATCCAAGAAAGGGATTGATGTTCTGGACCGATTGGGGACAGGTACGGTAGCTGCGTTTCTCTCTGGACTGGTTCCTGATTATTGTAATCTTTCAGAATCCCCATATCGAAAGGGCAAATATGGACGGTACGGATCGTCAGATCATCGTGAGTACGAAGATCTATTGGCCAAACACAATCGCTTTGGATTTGACCACTGATCGCGTGTATTTTGCGGATTCCAAGCTGGATTACATCGACTTTGTGAACTACGATGGAACTGGTTAGTGCATCTACCGTAATCCACCGTATCTCTCGACATATCTCTTTGCAGGACGTACACAAGTATTGTCATCGTCAAAATTCGTGCAGCATCCGCATGCACTGGCAATTTTTGAAGATATGATGTACTATTCGGACAGGCGATTGCAGCGTTTGCAAGTTTACCCGAAATATGCGAATGGAACCACTGCAGATTACCCTAGTCATACGTTCAGTAAGGTAAGAACAACTCAAGGTTACATGGTCATATGCATGAAGTAAACGTTTTCTAGGCGCTTGGCGTGGTTGCGGTCCATCCGATCCTTCAGCCCAATGTTTCAAAGAACCCTTGTGAAAACAGTCCATGTTCTCATATTTGCTTACTTTCCTCGAAGGTAGGCTTGCTTTTTAGGTTTGAACTTCATGTGACTTCCATCCTATTAAATAATCCAGGGCTTCTCCTGTGGATGCCCTATGGGCAAGCGTCTGGATGCATCAGGAAGGACGTGCGTGGTCGATCAAAAGCCATTCCTTTTGCTGATCCAGAGGAACAACGTCTTTGGTGTGGAAATGGTTCAGAGGTAAGAGAAAGCATGCTTCAAACTTACCATCAACAAGCACGCACAGTAGGTGGATTTTTAATGCTGTAAATATTTATACCTGCACTAATTGATTAGTTTTTTCTCTTGAACTTCTCAGCCCTATACAAAAAATCTCAACCTGGTTTTTCCGATATTTCCTCAAATTTTTCGCTTTTTTCAGAGGAAACAGTACTCCGTCATTGGCGGGTATGGTACCATTGGCTGGATTATCTAATGCATTTGATGCTGGTTACGATGCTGATTCTGGAGATGTGAGTCTTACATAGTGTGTCTTATTGCAATTTTTTCCATTAGGAAATTCGCTAAAATTATGGAAAATTTTTGCAAAAAAATAAAAAAGTTTTGCCTTCCAGCTGTTCGTCTTGGAGCATACCAACATTGCTCGTACACTAACTCAAGTCTCCACCGATGCAGCCATCTATAAATCATCGATCAATGCGGGAAATAAGGTTAGTATTTTTTTCGCAAGTTTCTAATAAAAATGTGGAAAATTAGCGCAGGAATCATATTCGTGTTTTTTCAAGAAAAGGACGCCCTCTCATTTTGTACAAAATGTTATTTGATTTGAATGAAGGATCCTTAGCCAAAGCTGTTTAGACTCAACTCTACTCTTCGCAAATTCCTGACGACCCGTACTGCATGGCATTCGATTGGAATGGCCGTAATTTGTACGTTGGCAATAAAATCTCTCAAACGATCGAAGTGGTTCGCACTGTTGGAACGCAGGTAAATTCGCTTTTTACTGTATGCAACATTCTCACATCTGAACCGTTTTTCTTACAGTATCGCGCAGTTGTACTTTCGAATGATCAAACTCCAACTGCTGTCGTAACTCCAGTATCCATAGCTGTGGATTCTGACAGAGGATTACTGTTCTGGTTGGATAGGTGAGGATATTTTTGTATTAACATTTACGATAGACTGTGCGACAGAGGCGGCTGACCTAGATGTGAGGATTCCATGAATTTTGAAAAAGAATTCGGTGACGAACTTTGCACTCACATTAACGTTACATGGGTCGCCTCTACTTTCAATGATAATTTTAAAAATCTGCTACCCTAAAATCCACTATCAGATAAGTCCGCAGCAGATAAGTTCGCCTATCCTGAGCATGAGAAAGCGGACTTATCTGCAGGACTCTTGGCGGCGCGAGGGCGACTTTCGTTGTCAAGAAAGCGGACTTAACTGTTAGTTCCTTTGCGGACTTATCTGATAGGGTGGACTTATCTGATAGGCGGACTTATTGTTCGGATTTTAGGGTAATATTCTTTCAGTTTGAATACGATCTGCTTTTTTGGATTTTTGTCTATTTAGGTATTAAAAATCATAGTTTGCTTTCTAAAAACTAGAATTTAACGTATGGTTTCTTGAAAATTCAACAAAAATCATAATCAGAACAAATCAGAGCTCAGATTTGGATAACCCTGGCCGATATTCTGGAATAAGTATTATACAACAACAAATAACAGGGTATTTTTACAAGCCCACATTAAATCAAAATCAAAAAAATCAAATTACCATTGCAATACCAAATTATGTTTTCGAAATTTTATTTTGAAATCAAGAACTAGCAAAAGCAATACAGATTTCCACTTAAACGGAAGCAAAAAAAATATAGTTGCAATTTGTAAGTATGTTACGGTAATTTGGTAACAAAGGTTTTGAAATTGTTGGTATTCATGGTGACTGGCGTGCCTGCAGATTCTCCATAAGGGCCTCGGAATTTTTAGTCGTGCTCTTTTTCACTGCGCAAAAATCAGCACCGGTGAAGGGTTTTTTATACATCGATTTCTTTGCAGAGGCGGTGGTGCTGCTGACGTGAAAGTAGCTCGAACCAATCTGGACGGAACTAATGTGCTGGTAATCGCTAGCAATGATCTATCAGAGCTGGATCATATCACCCTGGATATTACCAACCAGCGAGTCTACTTCACCGAAGGAAAAGCCGGACGAGTCAGTTTTTTGGGGTTGTATGGCTTCCGACTTACCGTACCTAATTATTCTGCTTCCAGATAACGTCAGTCACTTACGATGGTCAGGACCGGCACTATCTCCTCAATGATCCCGGAAAACAGCCTAATGGAGTGGCGTTCTTCAGCGATAGGTACTTTTCTACCAACCTGATCCAAAGTAGGAGAGGAATTACATATTTCAGACTATTCTATTCGGACACCGCTTTCGATTCCATAGATGTGGCGACAATAGTGGGAGATAGTCAACCTCCACAATTCTCTCACTTCAAAAAGGAAATTGAAAACCTTGTGAATATCAAAGTTCTCCAGCCTAGAGCTTGTGAGTTGCATTTTAGCTTAATTAAGATTGAAATAGTCTGATTGACTTCAACTGCACAAATTTCAGCAGCCGTTAGCCATCCATGTCGGACGGACAATGGAAATTGTAAGCACATCTGCGTTCCACAACAATTCAGTCAACATACCTGCATGTGTGCTACTGGCTACATGAAGGTAGGGTTTTGGCATTTGGCTAGCTTACGGTAGCAATACGGTAATATGGGATCAACCGGTTTCTGCAGCCTAAGGCCCCGGGCAGACTTCACGCGATTTGATCGTCGCGACTGAATCGCGACGAGACAACTGCTACAACATCATTCCATGCCGATCAACTTGCATTCGGTTGTGATACTTTTCCAGTCCGAAATTTTTGAATGTGAAATGAAAATGAATGGAAGTCTTGGCGATTAGGTCGCGACGATTAAGTCGCGTGAAGTCTGACCGGGGCCTAAGGAAAAGATATTCATCACGACAGTTCTCTTAATTCGAAAAAGGATTTGGCTTGAAAGGTCACCGTTTTCAAGACTCGCGAAAAATCTGCTCATAAAAATTATCAGTGGTTTTTAGTCTGCCATCAAAATCTGCTAGAACTTATATGCGAATAATTTTAGGATGGTCAGACAAGCTGCAAACTGTTTGACGAATCGTTTGTGATGATTGCAACGAAGAACAAAGTTGTGGGATATCCGTAAGTCGGCTTTCTTTCCTTCTATACCATCGCAAATTTACTTTCTTACATAGATTGGACGAAACTCACCAGAAAGGCGTATCTATGGATCCCATTGGTGGCTTATCGATCTCTTCGATTGATTTTGAATTCGAAAGCAGATCGATATTTGTTGCCGAAGCAGCCGGTATCAATAAGGGAATTACAGCGTGAGTACTGAGTAGCTTTTGTTAGAATATATGAATATTTATTGTTTTACTGATTTCTTGCAGTTACACCATTGGTCAGTCTGCTCCAAATCCAATTATTCGTGACACATTCGGATCGATGACGATCCGCAGTATCGCCGTCGACTGGATCAACTTCAATCTCTACTTCATCAACCAAGATTCAGAAAGAACCAACATCGAAGTATGCAAGTTGGATGGACAGTATAGGTAAGAAAAAAATTTGGTTATGGACGGGATCCGAGCGGTTGTGGTTGGTCACCTGTAATGAATGCTTGTATGCATGACTGAAACGTCGATGACTGTTTTTTTAGGAAGATCCTGTTCACCACAAAAACGGAGACACCCAGCTCAATAGCCGTTGATCCCATTGGGCGATATATCTACTGGGCTGATCAGGGACAAAAGCCAAGCATTCAGGTAAGTCAGTGGCTCCGAAAAGACTCTTTGACACCCGAAATGTCCAAGAATATTTCTACTATCGCTTTCTATTTTAGCGAGCATTCCTCGATGGAACCCGTCGTGAAGTTGTCGCTGGAGCAGACTATGTCTCTGAGCCTACCGATGTTGTTGTGGACCCAGCTAGTCATATGGTTTATTGGGCTGATGCGAAGCGAGATGGCATCTATAGGTCCTTACTGCCTAAATAATCAGCGTAAACATTCTCTTCCATACCATAAAAAACTTTGCTGCAGAATCCGTCCTGGTGGAGGAGTGCCAGAGCTGGTCCGGCCAGATATCGCTTCCGCTGCTGGTCTCTCCTTAATCGGACAACAAATGTATTGGACTGACAACCGGCTTGAAAAAGTGTTCCGTGCTTCTAGGTAGTGTTTGTACATCACGCTATTCCCAACTTTTCGATTAACCTTTTTCTTTCAGTAAACCAAACCAGACGTCGCTGCTGCTCTCACCGACTACGGTAGCGGCATCGCTAAGGGACCTCGGTGATGTGGTGGTGTTTGCGTCGGAAAATCAGCCGAAGGGTTCGTCACCGTGCCAGATCACGGATAACCTCAGGAAAAATCCATGCCCGCAATTGTGCTTCGCTTCTCCGGGTACACAGAGTCCAAGCTGTGCATGTGCTAGAGGTGGGTAAAGCTGTTCACAATCCAAACCTGGAGTAAATCATTAGTATGGTAGAAATTCGTCTAGCTACACTGATGACTTGAAATTTTTGGAACATATTGTATCTTCTCAATCATTTGCACTATAAGTTGCATCTTATACCTCAGAAACCAAGAGTAGAAATTTTTGAGACTATGTTGACTACTTTGAAGATTCCTCATCTTGTAGTTTTCGTAACCGAAAAAATTCTACTGCGTAACGAGATGCAGGCTCGAATAGCTCCCAAACTGTGGGGCTAAATTAGAGAAGGTGAATAAAACCTTATTTTCCAGGTATTCTGAAGGGTCGTACTTGCGAAGAACCTGACACTTACCTAATGTTTGCTGATGGTGACAGGATTGTCGATGCTTCCATCGAGCCTGACATCAAAGCAAGCAAGCCGCTGAAGGTATAGTTTCAAAAATCAAAAAAAGAAGACAAATAATGCATCGGCCATTGATTTAGGAACCATTCCCAGCGATTGAAAACCTGCAAGTGTTTGACGTTGATGTGAATTTACGAAGAATCTATTATGTTACGGAATCACCAGCTGGAGTGAATATCAGCTGGTTCAGCATGAATAATGCTGAAAACCCGAGAATGATCCTGGGAGCAACGAAACAAAAGGTTGGTCCACTTCCAATTTGAGCAACTAATTTTGAATTTCATGGTTTTAGCACGCCGCCGACATTCGGCATATCTCTGACATGAAGCTAGACTGGATAACTGAAAAAGTCTACTTCACAACTGGACGTGCTGGTAAAGTGATGTCGATCGATTCACAAGGAGACCATCTGAGCACCGTTCGTAATGAATATCTGATTCATTGATTGCCAAAAACCAGAACTTTCTTTCAGATCGCTGTCGGTGATTGGACCTACGCCTTAGCTCTGGACCCATGCAGTGGATTGATCTTCTGGAGTGATACCGGCTACAAGGCAACTGGAGGTTTGTAGAAAGAAGCCAAGGGGTTTTCGTAAATTGTTTGTGCTTAAAGGCAGTGTCCAGGCAGATCTGGTCGCATGGCTCTTTCGCCTGGAATTTGATGAGGAACTAAAGCACTGCCCAAGGGGCAGCGCAAATTGTTCGCTCGCGGCTGAGTAATCCATCCCGGAAAACCCTGCGCCTGCGCCGTGACCGTAACCCGAAAGCGACTTTGCTCACTTCAACACTACGCTCGCGCTGGGACCCATCCTAAGTGCTGCGGCCACCGGGCAGCAGCGAAGGGTTGTGGATGGATTTCTCAGCCGTGAATGAATTATTTGCGCTGCGGTTTGGGCAGTCTTAGCTAGAGCCTCCTCGACAGTTTTCAGCCAAAAACCCATATGCCCAGATTTGACTGGACACTGCCTTTAACTGATGCTAGATCAGATTCCCAAGGCATAATTGGACAAAATGAGAATGCAGACTAAATGGACAAATAAAAACGGATCGAGGAAGAAGTCTCGGGGGAGATTCCATAAATCTTAAGCAGACTGAAACGATTAGAAGCAGTCTCTCGTAGCCCTAGGTTTAACAGAGTTTTACTTATCCGCTTTACTTATCCGATCTTGCCTTCCTCAAAAGTGTATATCAGAGGTTTTATGAAATGACGAAGTATTGGATATGCAGCATTGATGGTTAAGATTGATTATCTAGGATAAAAGACGTGGTTGCAAAAAGACAGCTATCAGAAAAAATGGGAAAAAACGCATCAAATGGCTTGATTTTCAGACATCACTACAACGTTTTGAGAACGTTCAAAAAATGTAAAATTATTCACGATAATGATTCTCGCCCTATACATTTGAAAAGACACCAAGGCCGTAATGTACTGGGTAAATGCGAAATATTGTCGAAATTTTCGTGGATGCTTCATATGATTATAAGGAAAATTGGTAGCTGTACAATATTTCTGGTCTTGTACAAAAAACGTATGTGTTCGGCATAATGTGGGAACGAGGTTGAAAATAATGACAACAGGTAAGTGATGGTGAAGGACCGAAGAAGGGGGAGAAGTTCGCGAAATTTTTCGAAGTTACTTACATGTATTACAAAAATGCGCAAGTGACTTGTCTATAGTGGTGAATAATTGAAATATTTTTTGAATTTTTTGAAAAGTCAAATGAGCTTAGTAAAAGATTCTCGGGACAACAATATCTAATAAGTCAGATTTGAAGCACTGTAAATGAATATAAGTGTAAAGAAAAAATTCGAAGATGTGCAGTAGGCAAAATCTCAAGTATACTGACTTACTACTATAACAACTCAGCCATAAAAATTCCTAGAAATGTGATCGCATACCTTATGGAAAAAAGCCAAAAAACGGTTTATCTACATTCATTGTGGTTGTTTCAGGTCTCTATGAACCGCGAATTGAACGATCGAATATGGCTGGTGGCAACAGAAAGATCATTTTAAGTGAAAGCATCTCCTTACCAGCAGCTATAGCAGTCGACTTTAGGTAGGCATGCATGTCACTCGGCTGTTATTCACTCTCACAACTCATTTAATTGTGAGTTTTGCAGAGAAATGAAGATCTACTGGGCGGATATCAATCGTTTAAACATCGAATGCAGCGATTATGAAGGCAATAATAGAAAAGTGAGTTTTTTGGTTATTGTTTTTTTTTGCAAAATTCACCGATAATTCTCAAGGTAATTGGGGCTGGATATCGTGCCAAGTCATTAGATCTGTGGGATGAGTGGCTATACATGAGCGATCCGTCAAGCAATGGAGTGTTCCGTCTCAACAAGGTGAAGGATAACAACTTTATCTATTTTTCAAATTTTTGAAAAGTTTTTTTTATAGGATTCTGGTGGTAGCATCGAAACGGTGGTTGGAGATCGTCGTATTCCAGGAACTTTGAGAGTGTTTGCCTCGGAGAGCGATGTAAGGACCAGAAATCAGATATGCAACGCTTTGACGTCATCTCTGTGCAAGACGGATAATGGAGGATGCGATCAGGTAGATTTAGAAGCTTCGAATAATCTTACTGAAGTGCTATAATGGGAAAGTACAGGGTCCTTATAAGTTTAAAAAGAAAAATACCATTTTCGAGAGAGGAAAAATCAGTTGGATTAGAGACTTTGCAATTGAACTATGAATTTTTATTCTTTAGATCTGTAACGTAGTAGCCGATGAAGTTGGTCTTGCTGCAAGTAAAGTCCAGTGTTCGTGTAATGATACTTATGAACTAGTGCAAGAACCTGGAAAAGTGAGTCATTTTTCCCACCTTTTCGAATAATCGATATATCGATCGCCCCCTAGGACTTCCCCAGCCAGTGCGTGTTACGGTCGGGCATGGAATCCGGTGCAAAGGACTGCCAACCACCCTATAACTTCCAATGTGGAGACGGGTCATGTGTGTCGCTTGGAGTCACTTGTAATGGAAAGCCAGACTGTTCCGACGCATCGGACGAAAATCCGATTTATTGCAGTAAGCTGTGGTGTTTTAGATGGTTATCGAATTATTTGCACTTGGAAAAATCTCGTCTTCCAGATACTCGTGCTTGCCCAGAGAACTACTTCTTGTGCACGAACCGAAGATGTATTGACGAGGTTAAACGGTGAGCACTGAACAGAACAAGAATGAGATGTAATCAATATCGATCAATATTCAGCTGCAATCATATTGACGATTGTGGCGATGCATCCGACGAGCTTGATTGTGCGGCTGCGGTCACTTGTGCTTCGGGTTCATTTGCTTGCGGCAACGGACACTGCATTAATCAGACTAAGGTAAGTATTTTTGTTTCACCCTAATCTTTTATCGTCGATTCATCGCGCGCAGAGACCGCCACTGCAGAATCTGTCAGCATTTCTTTTATTTGAACGCAGTCTCATTCTTTTAACCGCTTGCTGTCTCTCAAAAACATGATTTATCTTGAGCGGACGCAACGCGTCCAGTCTCTGCGTGCGATGAATTGCCTATAAACTGCTGAAATCTTTGTCCGCTGAAATACCCTTGTGCGCACGTGAGATATTTTGGGTGTATGTCAAGAGGCTCAATTTTTATTGCCAGATGGATACCAAATAGCACATAATAAGTGTTTTATAACTTTTCTAAACTTATTCAGATTTTAGAAGAAGATATTAGATAGTTGCATGGGCTGTTCAATCTTAATACCTTGTAATGATTCAAAACAGCAATTTTGAAAGTCAAAAACCCATGAAAATGCAGTTGAGAACAAATTCGTAAATATCTCGGTCCATTTCCCAGCAAAAGCCACCAAACTCAGCAAATGGTAACCTCAGACAGATAGTAAGCTAATGCACTTTACCTGGTGCTTTTCGAAGACTCGCATAGCATAAAACTGGGGTTTTAAGTTAGTGACAACCAGTGAAATCGCGCCTCTTGACCGTCTCCCAGATATTTTTACATGCCCTTTTTTCTGCTGTTTAAAACTGTTTAGAAAGTGCGTTATATATCCATTAAGTGCCTCTGCAAGCTTGTTCACCAACATTTTCCTTTTTCCCCAGGTTTGCGATGGCCACAATGACTGCCATGACGAAGGCGTTTCGGACGAGTCAAAGGAAACTTGCCCTGGCTTACCAATCGACTGTCGTGGTGTGAAGATACGGTAATAACGCTGCAGTGCATCGTTTTTGTAGCGCAGTACGATGGCACTTTGCCAAATCTCTCATCATTACAGATGTCCCAACACAAATATCTGCATTCAACCGGCTGATCTCTGTGACGGCTACGATGACTGTGGAGATAAAGCAGACGAGAACAAACTGTTCTGCATGAATCAGCAATGTGCTCAGCATTAGTAAGTTCACGATCATAATAGCCACATGGGAAATTTGTCGGGAAAGTAACCTTCATGTAATCAGCGAGAACTTTACAGTGTACGTTGCCCATCTGGCAGATGCATCCCAGAAACATGGCAGTGTGATGGTGACAACGATTGTGCCGATGGTTGGGATGAAACGCATACGAACTGCACGGATGAGACTGGAAGACGCATCTGTGTTGGAGAATATTTGTTCCAGGTTAATATTATATATATTTTCTCGACCCTTGGTGCACTTAGAGGTTCGGGACCAGTTCTCGCAACTGCACTTTCAGTGTGACAACGGCAAATGCATCTCCCGTGCGTTCATCTGTGATGGTGAAGACGACTGCGGTGACAATTCCGACGAGCATACCAGACACAGCTGCGGCAACCGCACTTGCACCGACCAAGAGTTCCACTGCATTTCGAATGCGCGACTCGCGCAGCCGAAGTATGAATGCATCCCGAAGGCGTGGCTTTGTGATGGTGACGTCACTTGCGCTGGCGGTGAAGATGAAGCGGCTGACTTGTGTAAGACAGAAAAGAAGGTAGGGCACGAGTTACAGTAATCGCGGACTACTAACTAAACCGAGAAATTCAGGAGTGTAACAAAGGCGAATTCCGTTGCCAAAATCAACACTGCATCCATGCAAGTTGGGAATGTGATGGGGACAATGACTGCTTGGACGGATCTGATGAACATGCCAACTGCAGTAAGTTGCAAATTGCTTCACGTATAGGCTAGTCATCGCACGCAGAAAATGGATGTCGCTGCGTTTGACTGAGATATATCGCGTTTGGAAGAGACAGCAGACAGTGAGGGGAATAAAAGTACACAGAAACGAACAGCGTCCGCGGTGTCGACCTGTCTCTGCATGTGATAACTTTGTATAATTCTGATTTTTTTCTAGTTCGCAGGGGAACTTTATAGAAATCCAATTTCATTGCATATATTCACAACTTTCAGCGTACTCATCGTGTCAAGCTGAATTCTGGCAATGCGCGAATCACAAATGTATTCCAAATTCATGGCGATGCGATGGAAATGACGATTGTGACGACGGTTCCGACGAAGCTGATTGCGCTCAAGCTCAGAAGGTACTCTGATTCAGATTTTCTAGGCAATTGCGCGCTATATTTCCTACTAGCTGGCTTACCCGGCTCCGCCGTATCCGGACCAAACTTGGCACACATACACTTCGGGCCCCGGCGGGTGTCACAGTCCACTTTTCGTCATCGATCGATGTCGATTTTACCGATTTTTATCGATTTTTTTGCAGAATTCACCTACAGGGCTAGGAGTTGGCACAGGGGGGGGGGAAGTGAGCATGGGGATTCCGAATACAATATTAGTTTCCAGAATTATCGATTACTTTTATTGATCTTATCGATTTTTTGTAAATTTTGACATGCGAGGCTGGGATTTTGCACAGGGGGTAATCGAGCATGCTGATTACGAACACAATATTATTTTTCAGGATCGTCCATTACTTTTATCGGTTTTATCGATTTTTTTGTAAAGTTTGATCTGCGGGGCTGGGAGTTTGCACAGGGGGGTAATCGAGCATGCAGATTACGAATACAACATTAGTTTTCAAGATCATCCATTACTTTTATCGATTTTATCGATTTTTTGAAAATTCGAGCTAGGGCGCTGAAATTTGGCACAGGGGTGTAATAGCATGCTGATCACCCCCCTTGGGGATGATCAGCATGCTCGATTACCCCCCTGTGCCAACTCCCAGCCCCCTAGCTCAAAATTTGCAAAAAAATCGATAAAATCGATAAAAGTTATCGATAATCCCGAAAACCAATATTGTATTCGGAATCCCCATGCTCGATTACCCCCCCCCCCCCTATGCGAACTCCCAGCCCCGTAGCTCAAACTTTGCAAAAAAATCGATAAAATCGATGAAAGTAATCGATAATTCTGAAATCCAATATTGTATTCGGAATCCCCATGCTCGATTACCCCCCTGTGCCAACTCCCAGCCCCGTAGGTGAACTCAGCAAAAAAATCGATAAAAATCGATAAAATTGATATCGATCGATGACGAAAAGTAGCCTATGACACCCGCCGGGGCCCGTAGTGTATGTGTGCCAAGTTTGGTCCGGATCGGTTCAGAAATGGAATTTTCTATTCGGAACATACGTACAGACAGACATACAGACAGACATACATACATACATACAAACAGACATTCAGCTTTATATATAAGATGATTCTGCAGGAAATGGGCACAGGCCATGCGCTATGTCCCCGAGGCCAGTATCAATGTCTGTCTGGACAGTGCATCGATGAGAAGAAGGTGTGCGATCGCAACTACGATTGCCCCGATCGCAGCGATGAGAGCACACAGTGCTGTGAGTTTCATGTAGTTTGGAGCTTATTCAAAATTGATTTGAACAAGTTATTGACTTGGAATGGATCTTGCAGTTATCGACGAATGCGCACAGGCGGATAAACCACTTTGTGAGCAGAAATGCGTTGATTTACCCATCGGCTATCGTTGCGATTGCTTCGAAGGCTTCGCCATCGACACCGATGACAACAAGAGTTGCCATAATGTCAATGAGTGCTATGGTCGGTGCCCTACTTTTAGTTCTAATGTTCATCGTTGATCGTTTCTTTTCTAGAAGGCATATCTGGCTGCAGCCAGACCTGCGAAGATAAGATCGGATCCTACAAATGTGGTTGTGTGGATGGCTATCAGCTGGCTAGAGATGACCACAGCTGCAAGAGAATAGATACGGTAGGGTCCATCACCTCTAACTTCTGCACTGCTGGTATTCGTATCTGATGTCACGATCATTTTACCGTTAATGGCTTTTTTTGGTTCAGTTCACCAAACCCATTGCCCTCACTTTTTCCAGTTTCCTACATCACATCCACGGTTCACTTCATCGTAATCAAGCGCGTTACGGAAGTCAATTCGGGGTTCTATGTACAACTCCACAAAATTCCCGAAGCGAAAACAAAAACTGAAACAAAAATCAAAGTTACAGTCATTACATATATTGGGTCAGCTCAGAAATAAGTTCCACTTTTGCGGCTTCTAGAAATGCTACGGACAAATTTCTGTCCAGTGTTTGGTATTTCTGGGGGGAGCACTCCAATGAAAATTGGAATTTTATTGTATCTCGGTAAAATTTACTTCTCTATAAAAAATTGGAAAAAGTGAGAAATCTTAATTTCCTTAGTGTGTGCAAATGAGAGAAAACTTCTTTTTCAATCAGAAATTTTCAAAATAGCAGATCGCAAATTCTGATATCGTACGCTAAATAGAGAAAACTTGGATGTATACAAATACCAAATCAATCGTCTCCACCCAACACAGCATGAAAACAAAGCTTGAAAAGTCAAAGAACTAAGTTTTTGAAAATTTGGCCGCATTGGGGCCTAACTGTCCTTTACTAATAGGAGAAATGCTGAGTAGTTGGTGTGTGAGAGCAGAAGCTCTGAAATGCTTCCCTTCAAGAAATTATAAACAAAAACAGCAAGGATATTTTATGAGATTCGTATAAAATACGAACTTATCTTCAGCCAGTAATTTTGTTGGCTTATGCTTGCCAATAAGCAGTTATTTATCGGCAACTTCACCTTGCCTTCTTGACCCCTTATCTGACTGATATTTGGTTGATTTGTGAGCTAACTTTTTCAAGTAAGATTCCATTTCCAGGAACCAGAACCATGGCTTATGCTTGCCAACAAGCACTACATTCGCAAGATCTCCATGGATGGTAACAAATACGAAATGGCTGCTCAAGGATTTGACAATGTGGTCTCTCTGGATATCGACCTTACCGAGAAGAAGGTTGGATTGAATCAGTTTAGTTGTTCCATGTGGAAACATCTCGTCTGTTTTAGGTTTATCTAGTTGACCAAGGCAAATTACGGCTATTACGAGTTAGCATCGATGAAATGGATGAGCCGGTTTCCGACTATGAAACTGTGCTGAGACATAACATCTTTGGCATCGAAGGTACAGAAAGCTCCCATGTTTCAAACAACAAAAATTTGGAAAAACTTGATTCTTGCAGGATTTGCTATCGATTGGGTCGGCCGAAAGATTTACATGCTGAATCGACAAGAGAAGTCGATTCGAGTTTGTGAACTGGATGGAAGATTCTGTAGAACGCTGATCAGGGACAGAATTTCACAGCCAAAGGTATTAGCTGTTGCAAATTATCTTAGTCCAATTCATAAAATTAGCAAGTAAATTTTATAAAATAAAAATTGCACTTTTTTCGATAAAATCTGGCCCTTATTCGTGTTTTAGGCCATTGTTGTACATCCTGGAAAGGGTTACCTCTTCTTCACCGAATGGAGCTTGCAACCTTACATTGGAAGAATGGCTTTGGATGGCTCACCTGAGTTGGCCGATCCGATTGTTAAGCTGGCTGAAAACGACCTCGGATGGCCAAATGCACTGACAATAGATTACTATTCGAACAGGTACATTTTAGCCTATAAAATATTGCAAGCAAAATTTCCTTTTCTACAGACTCTTCTGGGGAGATGCTCACTTGAATGAGATTGGCTTCATGGACTTGGATGGCGGTGGTAGACATCATATCCCTGCTCGTAGGACCAGCCATGTGTCTAGCATGGTAAGCACTCCTATGATATTAAAACACAAAAATTCAACAATGGCAACTTTAGGTGGTGTTCGATGACTACTTATACTGGTCGGATTGGAATCTGCGTGAAGTAATGCGCTGCGACAAGTTCAGTGGCAAAAACGAAACGATCTTGAAGAAGACTATTCAGCTTCCCAATGATCTTCGGGTAGCAAATTTCACGTATAATGAAAAAACTCGCTTAATTGTTTCATTTGAAGGTGGTGCACCCAATGCGTCAACCGGCTTATCCAAACCCATGTGGTACCAATAATGGAGGCTGCTCGCATCTTTGTCTCATCGGTGCTGGAGGAAATGGCTATACTTGTGCTTGTCCAGATCAGTTTGTACTGCTCGACGACAATAAGGTGAGGTTTTACCACGACCTTTGAGCGCCATTTACCCAGGTTGGGGTTGAAGGGACTATAATGCTATATGATATCGGGGCCATTAAATAAGCAATCGCCCATGTTCCAATGCAAAAGATAAATTTTGAAGCGAGAGAAGCGCTGTAGAAGGTAGAAGCGGGCCTCCGCCCAGCAGCATGGGTGATCTGGAAAAAAGAGTTCGAAAGACCAGTTAGAAATGCCGAAAGTCTGATAATCATAGTGACCGACGCATTTATGGCAAGCGTAGATACATTAGAGCCCAACTTTAGACCTTTATATCCAGATTTCTTTTTAAAGGGCGGAACCACTCATTTTAATGGGCATCCGGGCCACTTCTACCTTCTGGAGAGGTTTACTCGCTTTGGAACTCATCTTTTGCAGCAAGATTTGAGCGATTTGCTCAGTTAGGGCCCTGCTATCATATGACATTAAAATCTCTTATCAATCTGGGAGGACGATGCCTTTAACTTCCCGTTCTTGACCAAGATGTAACCTAAAGAGGAAAACGAAGTGTCAGTATATCCTTAAAAGGAAAAAGGGAGAAAGAGAATATAAACGTAACCTAATACTATCTCTTAGCGCCAGACGACTTCCTTGCATGGACTTGTCGTGAATTAGACCAATCCTCGGATTTTTGCTAAAATATGATTAAATTAAGACATGTGAGCCGAACTGCACTGATCGTCAATTTGCATGCGGTGGTGACGATGCCAAATGTATTCCTAAACTCTGGTACTGTGATGGTGAGCCCGACTGTCGCGATGGCAGTGATGAACCAGGAAAGGATATCTGCGGTAAGTTCAGGAGTTTCCTTTCTTTTTAGCTCACCTGAAAAGGAGTATTTTCTTTTCGTAGGATTATCAAAAAAATCAAACCACTTACTTTCTTTTTCAGGTGTTCGCATCTGTCCAGTTGGAGAGTTCCAGTGTGCCAACCACAACTGCACGCGACCATTCCAACTCTGCGATGGTCAGTTTCATAACACGGATGATTCCGATGTTCTTGGAATATTTTCTTAGGTAATGACGATTGCGGTGATGGTTCTGACGAGCAAGAGTGCGACAAACCCTGCGATCCATGGATGTTCAAGGTGGGTCCGGGCTCTCTATAATGCCTTGGTGTACTTGTGAAAAACTTGCAAAGTTTTTTCTTAGTGTGCCGCTACGGGCAAGTGTATCCCGAAGAGGTTCACATGTGACGGCGATGATGATTGTGGAGATAGATCTGATGAGGCTGACAGTCTCTGCAGTAAGTGAATTTGTTCAGAATTCCCTGTAACTTTCCATAGAACGGTTATTTGACAAGCTGATTACATCTACATCAAATCAGGAGAAAGCAGCCAATTAAAAAGGAAGAAATTAACGTAGTATAAAAGTTTTTTCGGGAGCATGAGTACCTCTGACATTGTTTTTTTTTTTTGAATTTCGTGGTTCGCAAGAATCTTAAAATGCATTTTAAAAGTTTTTCGAAGTGCGCATAGCCTTCATTCAAAGGATTTTTACGCATTCGTATTCCATTACATCAGCTTTCAGATAACCTCTTCATGCGAACTTATAGCAAATTCTCTCGGGCTTTTGCCGTATATCTAGATATATCGCGATTTATGAAAATTTTTACGCGCTGTCATTTAACCATGCAAAAGCCACAAATTTAACGTTAATTCTACCGTATTATACTCAAATGATTTTGGGGAAATTATCGATGGATTAGTCTCATTTCATACTGTAATACATTGATCTTGCAAATAATTTTTTTTTGCGTCGTCGACACCCAAAGTCATGTCAAGCGTTCCTCTTCAGTGAGTCCCGACCGCAATTGCACAGCCGAAGAATTCCGGTGCAACAATAACAAATGCATTGCAAAGGCATGGCGATGTGATAACGACGACGACTGTGGAGACGGCTCCGATGAAACGCCCGACTGTGCACGTCTCGACTGTCGTCGCGGATGGACCAGATGTGCCAGCTCGTACAGGTGAGCCCGCTTTTGAAATTTCCTAATATTTCTCGAGAACTTTTTCAAAAGTCTTCGCATTCATCAGTAATTGCTAGAAATACATTAAAAAACTAGCGAAACTATGTGCCTGCAACCTCAAATCGTGCAACTGCCAGTCAAATTGCTGCTTTGAATCTCCTGTCTTTCTTTCTTGATTCCTCAAGCCATTTTTTGGACTTTGGCGAACTCGACCATATCTTCAAGCTTACCTGTGAACACGAAATTGAAATGCACAACATGTTAAATAGAGATTTCGAAGCAGATTCGCTAGACTGAGGACCAGTTCTCGCAAGTCTTTTTCGCATGTGCTAGTTATTGCCGTCACTGACTTTTTGTTTTGGAATGCCAAGTGCTTTCCGAGGATTCATCCGAAATTGAAATGATTAGAATTTGAAAATGGAAAATAAGTGTTGTGATGATCTTGAAATGCACTTACCTTAAATAATTAACTCCCATTCGAAGGTGCATCCCCAACTGGGCCTTCTGCAATGGACAGGATGATTGTCGCGACAATTCAGACGAGAACCGCGAAAGATGCCCCAGTTGCGATGACGTTGGTTAGTCATATACGTACATTATGTCCTACATCATGAATTTTTCTCAACCCCTCCCCCTTCAAGGAGAATTCCGCTGCGCAACAACTGGCAAATGTATCCCGAAACGATGGATGTGCGATAGCGAGAACGACTGTGGCGACAACTCGGATGAGACCGACCCGAGCTGTGGGGGCACGACCCGACCGTGCTCTGAAAGCGAATTCCGTTGCAATGACGGAAAATGCATTCCGGGCAGCAAAGTAGGTTTTTGCTCTGTTATAGCTGTACGTTGAGTTTATACTTCGTTTAGGTGTGCGACGGAACGGTGCAGTGCAGCGACGGACTCGACGAGTCGCAGTGCACGCTCAGAAAGTGCGCTGCTGGACATCGCCAGTGCGATGACGGTACTTGCATTGTCGAACACAAATGGTGCGATAGACGTAAGGATTGCCCCAATGCAGCCGATGAGACCAACTGCTCGCATGTGGTAAATTTGAAAAATTTCTTCCTTGTAGTAGAAGTTCCAAAGGTAGGAAACATAACTGTAAAATGCGGCGATACGTGACGCAATCAAACTGCGTCCCCATTCCTTCCCCACTTGTTAAGTCCTGGTACGAAATAAGGGGACGAAGGATCTAGGTGTTTTTTTTGTGCTCAAAATTTGGTAGTGTCCTCTTCTGCGAATTACCCCGACAAAATACAATAGTTACATACTGCTAATTCTCATAATTTTTTTATACCCTTATTTCCCTGTAGGATCGCCGTCCATGCTCTCCGTTTGAATTCGAGTGCGCAAACTCGGTCTGCATCCCTCGCAAATTCATGTGCGACGGAGACAACGACTGCGGTGACAACTCGGACGAAACCTCAACGGAATGTCGTTCCGCCCAGTGCGATCCACCACTACGATTCCGATGTGCTCATTCAAGACTGTGTCTCAACATTTTGCAGGTAATCTCCTATTTTCGTTCTCTATATATTCTTTGGATATTTGAACTTCCGCTCAGCTCTGCAACGGTTTCAACGATTGCGGTCCAAACGACTACTCCGATGAACACTTGTCCATGTGCTCAAGCTTCTCTGAATATGGAGATTGCACTATGGACCAGTTCAAGGTTGGTTCTTTAGACAATTGAATCTCGAACAATAACCCGCTGAGCAAGCCATCAGTCCACACATTATCTTTAGTGTTCGAATGGAAAATGTATAAATTCAACGCTTGTTTGCGACCGAAATGATGATTGTGGCGATCATTCAGACGAATCCGGTTGTGGTAAGCTTATCTTGATGTTTGCTAGCTCAAGAATATAATTTGCTCGAACCCACTGAAATGAGTATAAATGCAGTACGAATCATTAGGTCAATGTCATACCTTTTTAGGGGTAACTCAAGGCTAATCATCTTGGTAACGGTGTATTACTAAAGTAATTTACAGCAGAATTTGAAATTTTTCTAGGATTCGAAACGTTAGTTAGTGAATACATAAATCGAAATGTGGCTGTCAGAAATGATTCTTGATACCCCAAAATCTGGCATATAAGGTTTCCCCGCAGAAAATTCATGTAAAGATGGATCCGATATAGATAAGGCCGCTTTACACTTGTAATCATTCTGGGTACTTATAATGAAAAAAAGACTTATCTGTAGGTGGATCTGAGGACAGGAATTTTCTGGGTAAAAAGCCGGCCTCATATACCATAAGGTAATTGAAAAATAATGGAGTTTCCTACCATAATGTGATTATGCTGTCAAAAAACTGCAGACTTCAACTTATTATTTTTAGCCAAGAAGAACGGTAAGACTTGTGAATCCCACAACGACAATGGAGGATGCAAACATCTTTGCACAGGTTAGATATTTTATAGTCATTCTTGACGATTTTCGGAGCTTTTATGGCTGTGCTTAAATCCCAAATATTCTATGATCCCAGATGTTGCTGATGGTGGCTATTACTGCCATTGCCGTGACGGCTTCAAACCCGATCCGGAGAATCCGTTCGACTGCGTGGACATCGATGAATGTGCTGGAAACAACACATGCACCCAGATGTGCCTAAACACCAAGGGCTCGTACCTGTGCAGATGTCATGAAGACTACGAGAACAACGTTGTCGTTGGAGCCATGACTGGAAAAGATTGCAGGGCAAAGGTTGGTGGTCCACTCGGATTTGCTGAGATTGAAAAGAGTAGAGAAATTAAATTTTTTCTGTTCCAGGGTGATCCAGCCAACATCATGGTTGCATCCGATGACGATCTCGTCCAAGTTGCGTTGCATGGAGCCGGAGTTAATCGACATGCTGCGGCTCACGTAAGCAACGAAAATTTTTCGTATATATGTCAAAATTGGCTTGCCGATTGGCTAGAGGACATTATGTCGCCAAGAGCATTGGTCATACTTCGCCCTCGGGCCAAATCGCGGCCTTCGCGCGATCTGGCAATTTGCCAGATGTTTGTAACAAATCCATCTCGCGCTGACTACGAACATACAGACGCATAGCTTTTGTAAACAGATGCGTACATGCTAAGGCTTCCTTGCCCAAAGTGCCTTATGAAGAAATACGTACGATCGTAGCAGTCTAACTTGCGCTGTTACTCGCGAGAGGTATAACCGAGGTCGAAAGGGAAGATCCCGCGCAAACAACTGCAATAACCACGCACCTCCACGCATTACAATTTTGTAAAAGCTGTCTCGGTATGGGTCCAACCGGCAGTTACTGTCCTCTACCTGGTATTCTGCTGCACAGTATATGCAATAAAACAGGTCCCTTAATGAATCTGTAGGAGCAGTGGCGCACCCAGGATTTCAGTCCGGAGGGGGGGGGGGGTGGTGCGACAAAAAAGTTTTCGGGTGAAAAAAAATTTCCGGAGAAAAAAATTTTTTTATATCCCAAAAAATTCCAAAAATTTTAAAGATGCTTTCCAAAATTTTTGCTGTTCCCTGGCCCCGAAATTTCAAAAAAGGGGGCGTGGCGGCAGCCACACTCCCAAAAAAAATTTTTTTACAAGGCTAATTTGAACTTTAAAAGTTTTCAAAAATCACTTTAATTCTTTACAAGTAACAAGTCGCGACCCTTGGGGGAGCGGTACCCTCCCCCCCCCCTCGGTACGCCACTGCTGGGCAGCTATAATTTCCATAGTGGAAGCATTTAGTAAGTTGCGAAAGAGTTTTCAGAATTTGGACATCAAAGTTCGACTAACAAATTTTGAAAAGCGAAACATTTATTTTTATGTTCACAATTTTCCGCGTTTTCTAGGCTGAGGAGGACGACAATGATCTCATCGCAATTGCGTTCGATCCACGACGAGCCCTTCAGTTCTGGATTGATGGTGGCAACTATGCCATCTATAGATCTTCAGAACCAAAAGGCAATCAGTCGCATGTCGGACAGAAGCTCGACCTTGATTTCAAGTCGAATGGCATAACTCCTACCAATCTGGCTGTGGATTATTTGACGGGGTAATTTTTAACCTCTTACGGTTTTTAACCTAGAAAAAGTTTTTTTCACAAGAAAGGTGGTGAAAATTGCATTGGTTTCAGTAATATCTTCATCACAACCGTTTCCAACATGGATATGCAGATGCCAGCGGCTAGAAGAAAGCGAATGAGTGAGCCTATTAGTAACACCAACACCGGAGCTGTCTACGTAGCCCTTTCCGATGGGCGTTATCTGAAGAAGGTCGTTAGCGGTAAGGTTTACCTCTCGTTTCTAGAAGTTTCTGATTTCTAAAAGAGGATTCTAGGTCATCTACAAATGCCAACGGCCATAGTGACATTGCCGTCTGTTGGACGTATCTGCTATGCTGATGCTGGATTACATGCAAAGATTGAGTGTGCCGATATGGATGGAACGCATAGAGAGGTAACTTTTGATTCAACTCGTTTGGCGGCTGTAAGGAGGGGCTTCATGACCTAATTAAGGCCGCTCGCGCCCGCGACGCAATCCGCGTCTCTCCCGCGCGTGCTCTCTGATAATCATCTAGTCTTAATTAGGTCACGCCCCGCCTTCCAACCGCCAAGCCAAATCAAAGGCAGGAATTCTATGGCTTTTTACACAGAGAACTGTACTGTGGCAAGTTCCGAAAACCCTAAATGGAATCGATGAATTTTTTTCACAAATAAACTCCATAATCCCACTAGAAAGGCAAAAAAAGATTTGACAAGAGTTTGTTATCGAGATGTTTTATCACAGACCTTCTCACCTAAAAATTGAAAATTTCTTTGCAAAATTTCACTTCCCATGTTTTCTGCATGTGACTTCACTGAATTTTAAATTCAGGTTATCGTCAAAGACCTTGTGTTTTCTCCATCATCGATGGCTGTAGATGAAGGCAAGGGAAATCGTATCTACTGGGCAGATCCAAAATATCGAAAAGTGGACTCGGTAAATCCTGATGGTAAGCACTGCAACATGTAGCTATAAAGTCAGACAATTGTTCCTTTCAGGTTCCGATCGACAGACGGTTGTACGGGATAAAAATACCCCATATGCAATCGATGTCTTCGAAAATTATCTGTACTGGGTATCACGTGAGACGAAAACGCTTTATGTGCAAGATAAATTCGGACGAGGACGAGTATCCGTGTTAGCTTCAGATTTGGAGGATGTTCACGCTGTTAGAGTCAGTCAAAGGTGCGATTTCATCAATTATTCCAAAAATTTCTGAGGTAGGAAAATGTCTGAGCGTAACTTGGAGAAGGAGAAAGTAATCTTTCTGCAGTCCACCCAAATTGAAGGCGATTGATGAGATTTTAATGGGTACCATAGCAGGGCTCCTAACTCCAAGTCTCGCTGCGAAAGATGAATCCCGAATTGGAAAAATTGCTTCAAAGGGTAGAGATGTGGTCGCAGCGCCCATCAGAATTGGTGATATGGAATTACTAGTCCCAAATTGGGCTTCAGTGTGCCCAAAACTGAAGTCTAATAATAATAAAGCGCTAATTTTCGACAATTTCGGGCCCACTCAAGCCCAATTTTGGACTTCTATTATTACCCTATTCAAATCACCACTTTGGTGGGCGGGACGACCACTCCCGTTTCTATCTTGTGGTGCGATTTTCTCGCATCTGACTTCGCCTTTTGACGTGGGACTTGGGCAAGTACATAGTTAGGGGCCTCGTTATTGTACAGCATCTAAAATATCACTCAGGGCGGACGGTGCCTATAATTATCTTCTGCAGCATACACACATAGTAAAAATCGCATGCTTAGGTATGCTCGCGACTCGACAAGAGCCAAAAGCTCATGTGCCGAGGCTCGGTGTAGCCATATATGCGTCCAGCTACCAAATGAAGGATTCGCCTGTCTTTGTCCTGACAACGTCTTCCCAGGAACTGTAAGTGATCCCTTAGCACTCTCTTATGCTTTCCCAGAACTGTGAACTTGCTCTAGGATGGCTCATGTGGTTCGGCTCGAGTGGATGCGCTCATCATGCCCAAGCAGTGCACTTGCACTAATGGTGGAAGGTGTAGGCTCGACGGCACTTGTGAATGTCCACCCGACTTCGAAGGCGAGAATTGCGATAAGTCGAGCACTGTCAGCAGAAAGGTAAGTGCGAGGTTACCAGCTGAATTGTGGGTTACTCGAAATTATTGCGAGAGTTCAGTTGATCGGCCGTCTCTCGGAGAATCTGCTACTGGCTCTCTTCCTCCTACTGGTATTGTTTGCTTGTGTTGGACTAGTTGGTTTCGTTGGGGTTAACTTGTACAGGTATGCGAAGAAAGAGAGAAAAAGGAAGAAAGATAACAAATCATTTCAATAGAAAACGAGCCCTACTATCAAAAAAGAATGAAGCCGCCGATAGTAGCGTCTCATTCCACGGCAATGTCATCTCGTTTAGCAATCCAGCTTTGGAAAGTAAACAGGTAAACTGAAGGGTGCCGTATGAACCATAATCTTCCACCGTACACACATTCGTCGCAGGACCCCAATCCGATCGAATACAGTATGCAGCAAATTGCGGCTGCCGAGGCTGGTTCGACAACTTTCTCGAATCCTGTATATGACCTAGAATCAGATAGCACTGAAATGGTGTCATTAGAAAACACACCATCGACGTCAAGAGCAACAAGTTTCCGTTCTCAACGGACCGGTGATGATGTTATAGGTGAGAAATTCTTTGCCTTAATCATTTTCTGCCCTCTCTCCTTTTTTTCATTTTCTGATTATATTCGACCTAGCACCGAATGCGGAGCTCACGATGAAGCCAGCCGTTCCGCCACGACCCACTAAGGCCGAGAAGGACAAGAGCATTTTGGTCGAGAATCCGGTGTTCGAAGCTAATCCGGCTGAAATTTCGGATGTATAAAATCATGAAGTCATTGAACATTTAGCGTTTTTTTGCCTTTCCTACCATCCCGGAGTCCCCTAAAAATTGTGATATTCAGAGAGTTCTATAGTTCAACTACTTACCCATCAAAACCAATATATATCATCTATATATTCACTTGAGCGTTAGGCTGCATATTATGTCATGCATTTGTCCAAAGTTTCCAATATTTCCCACTTGTTTTCATGTGTATCAAACAACAAATAGTGCCTGAAGATGCATGTTGCTCACGTCGAAAGTCAGTTTTCACTTTGTTTCGCAAGTGACGTTTATGTTAATTTATATATGAATGTTTTGCTATGCAACAGTGTATTTGCGGTCCTGCCGCTGGGTCCTGTCACGGAGTGCAGACGCGTGCCTTGCTGCCTCCGCTCCCCGTTGTGTCCTCTCCCATTGTTTATTTATGCTCTAGTGATTCGCGTGCATGTTGTGTAGTACTGTTGTGTGTGTATGCTCCGATGAGCACGGTTGTCCATTCCAGACGAGTATGATAAAGATTTCTAAAATTTAAGTTGTGTTAATTATGTTGTATGATGCCTGCACTGAAACTTGATGGGATGAAGGCAAGTTCGTGTAATATTTTATCCAACAGGAAATTACGTGTATGTCTCAGTAGCGATTAAGAGTACAAGCTTAAATTGTAATTACTTCCTAAAAACAAAAAAGTCTAGCTCAACGGTTCCAAACCTGTGCGGCACATGGTGTCTCACGTTTTGTTGCACTCCATAAAACATTCTCAGTCCACGAAGATCTAGTTAGGCCTAGACTGACAATGAGAAGTACTCTTGCACGATTCTGATTTTGTAACAACCAATTCCTCTTTATAGAATCTTCTTGCCATGTCGCCCTAAATGCACGCTTTCTCGACAGATTAGAAAAATTAATTTTGATTGTTTTATTGTATGTTGCTCGTTTAATTCAAACAAATTGACTTTTCCTCCAAAATTTAACTTCTCAGCTACTGCAAGCTGCCAGCTTTCTTTTTTTCTAATCTTTCGATCTTCTGGAAATTCTCTTTTTAACTGTTCATGATTTGTGTGTTTTGTAATTTGAGTAAATTCGTAAACAGAGATTTATGATTCTATAACAGAACACCTAAAATACGAGCAGATCTTTAGCATTCACAACAATGCTCGAATGCCGTGGAAATATCTAGCTGTGTTCGACTTGATGTGGTCAACAGTTTCGCTATCAGAACTGTTAGCATTAAGTTATCCCGCAAGTATTTTCGCCTTTTTTGAACAAGCGGCACAGTCCGTGGAACGAGGATATACAGAAATTTCGATGCAGTTTTTCATGCTCTTTCAAATGAATAGTTTATTCAATATTTTTACATTGCAGTTCTAAAGACGTCTCAGAAAATGAACTAGAAATGCCACACAAGGTTTTTGCCATGGTCAAGTTCCGCGCTGTGTCTGTCAAAAATTATGTCGAGTTATGGGGAGAAGAACAAAATTGTTTTTTATCCCATAGGGTTTGCTCTATTTATCGTTACTTGGACTTCTTCGGGGAAACTACACTGCTACAAAATTTAAAAAAAAACGCGGGACTTGACTTTAAAAAAACCATGGGTCTTCGTTTTTGGTGATTCTTTAAGAGCTCATCTGTTGGATTCTAATATAAAGACAGTCGTTTGTAAGAGCATGAATAAATGCATTGAATATTACCAGAATCTTCTATGAATATTTATCCCCGGAATATGTCGCTTGTTCAAAAAGGCGAGAATACTTTCGGGTTCATAAAATACAAGACAATTTTTTACTCCTTCCCATGACGCTCCATAATTTACTGAAACAATTGTTAAAATCACCGAATTTTTTCAGGCCTACCTTAGAGAATACGTAAAGTGGCGCCTGTTCAAGAAAGTAAAATCACTTTTAGGACCACCTGACACATCGATGTGTTTATTGTGCCGCCGGTCTACATCCGCAAACTACATCCATAAACGATAGAACAATGAAGCAGGGAGTAAGCTGCTTGTCGGTAAAGTTAGACTATGGTTGAAACGGCAAATGCAAAGCAATAATGCTGGTGAAGGGTTCACAGTCCAATGCTTTCACCTTATCAATAAAATTTGTGCAAATCAAATCGGGACAAGGATGGAGCGCAGATCGCTGAATGAAGAGCTCTCACGAATTACTACAGCAAATGAATTCCCATAATTCATGTGATATATTGAATTCTCTTTTGAAATGTTAAGTGGCTAAAGCTGAAGGAAATTAGGCTCACCCCTCTAACCAACAATCATGGATATCTGAACCGGTATGTGTCCAAGCGTCGGAATAATATCATTTTCAGAGAACAAAAAAGCAACATATAATGAGAACTGAATTTTGCTTGGACAAAGCTATTGTTAAGGCCAGAGTAAAAAACTACTACATAAGACTCGGCTGCTTTTATGACGAACTAGTCCTACTCTGGGAACTTTATGGAAAATAGGCCTGTACTTCACCGCAGCACTTAGCTCGAAGTCATGATTTTCGTATACGAAAGCTCTTTAAAAGAAAAGCGTCTTGGGATAAGCGCTTTTGCACTCGATTTTTTGTGCGAAAAATCGCGCCGGGTCATTTTTTCTCGCTTACAAAACGTGCGCCTCGAAATCGGGTTATAAAACTTGAGGTGCTCACGACCAAACATTGTTCGCGAAAAGCGAAAGTGTTTGCCCAATTATTGACTTTGATGTCAAGTGCTAGCCAGAAAAACTACATTATTTCAGCAAATTAACATCCCACGAGGAGTGACTGTCCCTCTACGACCACATCTTTTTCTTCTGGAGAGCGTTGACCGCGGAAGAAATAATTCCTTCATACGTTCAAGTTGAAGTACATCTATTTTTAGCAAGTTGAAGTAAGTTCGGGTTTCGGAAAAATGATCATAAACCCAGAGATTCGATAGAAGACTTTGGCACTTCCTTTTTTAAGTAGGCCACGCTATATGATAAACGTTATATAAAACCTACTATCAATAACCATACTTTGACTTATCTGCTTTATTGAAAAAAATTAGGGCTGATAAATGTCTCCACGAAAAGTAATGATTTTGTTACTGTTTCAACAAATGTGTGAAACCTATAAACTCTTGCAAGCCCAAATTCGTATGTATTAGGTTGGTCCGAAAGTTCTGTCCCACCGTTTTCAAAAAATCATAACTTCCTCCTAACATGATGTTTTTGCATGGCTAAACCTTTTGAAAAGAGCACTTCATGCGCTTTCTATAGACTTCTTGGATGGCATCTAATAAGCTCTGATTGCAGCGATAAAATTGGGAAAAGGAGATCATCTCAAGTTCGGAGTTTTTAAGCAAGCTCTTTAAAAAATCTAAAAGTGTGCCATAAAATCCGAAACAGCCAGTATCCTAGGTTTTCTGAACTCCTCTTTCTAGCTGAGCAAAGTTTGCGCTGATCGAGCTGTTATTTTGAAAGTTATGATTTTTTGAAGAAAATGTCAAAAAAAATCAATTTTCTTAAGAAACTGATTTTTTGGCATTTTTTCTTGAAAACCATAACTTTTCCAGGAAGAGCTCCATCAGCGCGAATTTTGCTCATATAGAAAGAGGGGATCAGAAAACCTAGGTTATGGGGTGTTTCAGACTTTATGGCGCAGTTTTGGATTTTTTAGTGGGCTTGCTTAAAAATTCCGAATTTGAAGTGATTTCCATTTCGCAATTTTATCTCTGCATTCAAAACTTATTAGATAGCATCCAAGATGTTTCTAGAAAGCCCATGAACTGCTCTTTTCAACAAGGTTTTAGCCATGCAAAAACATTATGTTAGGAGGAAGTTATGATTTTTTGAAAATGGTGGGAGAGAACTTTCGGACCAACCTAATATTTTAAATCTTATATATAAAGCTGAATGTCTGTTTGTATGTATGTATGTATGTCTGTCTGTATGTATGTATGTGTGTACGTATGTTCCGAATAGAAAATTCCATTTCTGAACCGATCCGGACCAAACTTGGCACACATACACTACGGGCCCCGGCGGGTGTCATAGGCTACTTTTCGTCATCGATCGATATCGATTTTATCGATTTTTATCGATTTTTTTGCTGAGTTCACCTACGGGGCTGGGAGTTGGCACAGGGGGGTAATCGAGCATGGGGATTCCGAATACAATATTGGTTTTCAGGATTATCGATTACTTTTATTGATTTTATCGATTTTTTTGCAAAGTTTGAGCTACGGGGCTGGGAGTTGGCACAGGGGGGTAATCGAGCATGGGGATTCCGAATACAATATTGGTTTTCAGGATTATCGATTACTTTTATTGATTTTATCGATTTTTTGCAAAGTTTGAGCTACGGGGCTGGGAGTTCGCACAGGGGGGTAATCGAGCATGGGGATTCCGAATACAATATTGGTTTTCGGGATTATCGATTACTTTTATCGATTTTATCGATTTTTTGCAAAGTTTGAGCTAGGGGGCTGGGAGTTGGCACAGGGGGGTAATCGAGCATGCTGATCATCCCAAGGGGGGTGATCAGCATGCTCGATTACCCCCTGTGCCAAATTCCAGCCCCCTAGCTCAAATTTTCAAAAAATCGATAAAATCGATAAAAGTAATGGACGATCTTGAAAACTAATATTGTATTCGTAATCTGCATGCTCGATTACCCCCTGTGCAAACTCCCAGCCCCGCAGGTCAAACTTTACAAAAAAAATCGATAAAATCGATAAAAGTAATGGACGATGCTGAATACTAATATTGTGTTCGTAATCAGCATGCTCGATTACCCCCCTGTGCAAAATCCCAGCCTCGCATGTCAAAATTTACAAAAAATCGAGAAAATCAATAAAAGTAACCGATAATTCTGAAAACTAATATTGTATTCGGAATCCCCATGCTCACTTCCCCCCTTTGCCAACTCCTAGCCCTGTAGGTGAACTCTGCGAAAAAATCGATAAAAATCGGTAAAATCGACATCGATCGATAACGAGAAGTGGACTGTGACACCCGCCGGAGCCCGAAGTGTATGTGTGCCAAGTTTGGTCCGGATACGGCGGAGCCGGGTAAGCCCCCTAGTGTATAATAGGATGAATCATTCTCAGGGCTCAGCACGAGGTGGCTAGATGAAAATGCGAAAAACGAAGTCCCCTTGACTTTTGGGTATTTTTACGAAGTCCCCTTTGACCCCCCACCATTTTCCCTAAAAATCCTCCAAAAAACGAAACGTCGACTAAAAAAAAACGTCGCCAAATCGCCAATTTTGCGTGTGTCTTCGGTCACAAAAACGAAACCCCCTTTGCTTTTCATCCCAAAAACGATACCCAGCTTGCTTGTAAGCCACCTCGTGCCGAGCCCTGATCATTCTGCATCAACTTCTCAATGGTGTTCAACGCAAGAATTATTGTTGGCATTGCAGCGATACGACTTGAGAGAGGGAAATACTCAAATCATATGATCTCTATTTTTGTTTGTTTTGACTGGTAGGAAATCCACTGAAAACCATTCCCACTTTTGGTGTTGTTTTTGGGCCTGAAGTTTTGAATTTTTGACTTCTTTATAACAGAAACTCTATTAGGATAAAACATAGCATTTACAATTTGGAAAGTACAGGTCGAAAGGGGAGAGTGGCATGTGGTATGAGGCGCCGCTATGGACTACCAGGGCGGACCAAGGTTCGATTTACTCCTAGACCGACCAAGCCCTCTACCCTCCGGGGATATTTAATTGATATCGGAGCAATCTGGGAGGATAAAAACACTAACTTGGAGATCGGCTAGCCCTCGCAAGTCATTGGAAAGGTTCTCAAGCATTAGGTAGCATCTTCCACCAATGTAAGAAGTTCCAAGTCGAATGCGCTCATTCCTTAAACCTTTTTCAATTTTTTTACAATAATTTGATGCGAGAGATATGGGTCAGGCTGATACAATCTCATAAAAAAGCTGCTAGCCTTTCAGTACCTGCCCTTACTCTGGATACTCTATAAATCTCGATGTAACCCAGGCGGTCATCCTAGTCATAATCTCATAGACGATTATTTATCTTTCAAACAGGACGCAATGAGCACGCCGAGCAGGCTTGACACCTTGCGCACGCGCCGGACTCCGCGCGGACTCCGCGTGCACCTACGAGAGCGCAGCGCCGCCCTCGTCTGAAAGCCGCAACGGCTCATTCCGTGCGCAGCTGAGCCCTTGCTAAGCCGTCTACTTTCACTGTGTTTTGTGGTTGCTGTGTGGTGAAGGCCCATCGCTGTGGCCGTTTTAGTAGAGCGCCTCTGGGAGGATCACCAGGTAAGGAAAATTCATACATTACGATCATTCTGGCTAAAGTCCTGATTCGAAGACCAGTTGAATATGTTTTACGTAGCCTCACTGTCATATATGCCCCCCCCCCCCCCTTCTGCACCTTTATCGTTGTTAAACTTATTGCCGCTGCTACAATTCAAGGTGATGACAGTACGTCGCCTTCACAGGAATTTTTCGAAAAGAAAGCTAGAGGGGGGGGGGTGGAAGAACGAACACTTAAATTAGGCACCGCTTCCGCGGACTACTGGTCCTAGCACGCGATGCACAACAGTAGGACGAAAGAGATAGCAGCTCGCGAAGGCGGTGCCTAATTGAGGTGTTTGTTCCTCTACCTCTTCAGAGGTTTACTGTATTCACTGCATTTATACAAAAAAATTTGAGGGTGAAATGATATTGTCGCATTTCCTACTTTGCATTCTATTGTTTTTCAGGCATGAGATTAACGAACGTGGTCATTCTATTATTATTCGGTCATACATTGGCATACAATATAGATACGATTTACAAAGATGAACCTACGCACAATTACAGAAAGTGAGTTCATTAAAAGTGCATTTTCTTTTACGCACAAAAGAACCTGAGAGAAGGTTGTAGAATATTGCGGAGCTGATGGGTTGTTTTTAACCATTTGTTGAGCAGAAAACGAGGTGATAAATGAAAATGCATTATACAGCCCTTCCATTGTGATGAACATTTCTTTCAAACTGATAAATGTAACTACTTTTGGAGCACGTTTTCCACATTCCGGCCTCAATGCTGTAAAGAACAATGCAATGAATTGTTTTTATTGAGTGGTCAGCCGTGGGCAAACAATGTCGAGGGCGATGAGCGGGACAATCCTCCGGCTGCTTCTTCAGCGCCCCGCCCTTGCACTGCTTCAGCTTGTAAGTCAACAACTGCATTTTCGAGCCATGGGCGATCCGACCAGCAGCACCCAAATTTACTTTTGAGATCAAATAAACGTGCCCACAAGCGCAAATAAAAAGTCCCTCGAGGATTTTGTTCTTTGGGATTATTTTGAAGTAGTGCATCGTTTTTATAGCGCGCGCATCCACGGATAGAAGTATCGAAACGAGTGGATCACCCTTTGTCAATAGAGGAGCACGAAAAATTGAGCCTATTTGTTTCTTCTGGGTTCGTTTCGATTTACGCTACATGTACTGATATAATGATTTTCGAAGCTAAAATGCTGCTCTTGTGAAGTGCGAATCCAGCTTAGCGATGATGACGGCTGAGGCGCGCCATTCAAGATATTCCACATTTCCAATATTAATTTGGCTTTTCTCTGTGTAAATATACTGCGCGCAGAATTTCGTGAATAATTTGCAGTTGAAAACATGTGGGCAAATGTTAGTTGAGGATTGAGATGGATAAGTATGCCTTGAATTTTCGACTAGAGGAGGGGACAAAGCTATGCGATAGCTTAAAATACTAAGTAATCAAAAGAGGGTAGCCTGCCGGACCAAAGTCAGAATTCTGTCACCTTGTCGTCAAGCCGAAGGTTGCCAAACTAATCAGTATATGCAGCAAAAGCTTATAGCTTCGAGATAAGCTCAAGTTTTAATCACCTAGCAAAATCTGTCACGCTCATTTCTTGCTTCTCTATCAGTTGATTTAACGGGGTTTTTTTGTCGAAGTTCCTCCGACGTTTTGACCAGTCAATTGCGTAAGTGAGAAACCTGAAGTGTACCATAGATCAAAAAAAGTTCGAAGATGTGCGGGAGTTCATCTTCTGCACGTCCCTCGACTGGTCATCATTTTGACCACTCTTCCCCACCCTACCGGACATCCAACCCCTTGATCCAGGAAGCCCCAGAACAGCAGGATCAAGTATGTTCCACCCCAACAACGACTGTTTACACATCGAAACATTCAACGTGAGACGCCTGCCAAACGAAGTCCAACTACATGAACTGCAAGAAGCCCTGAAGAGAACACGACTCGACATACTGGCCCTAACGAGATGGAGAGACGAATTTCAGAAGAAGCTTGGCACTTGCAATTGGCAAAGAGCAAGATCACTCATGTTAAAAGAATGGATCAGTTTGTTTGGGTGCTGCATATCGTAATAATATGAAAGGCAAATAAATCAATCGAAGATGTGGTGGTGAGCTTCTGCGGACCTTTGCGGAAACATAAATAGCAGGAAAATAGCAGCTTCCAGTCGACATGTGATCTACTTTGAAGTGGAATCATGAAGATGTAAAGGCAGCGGGAAATCAAGGTAGAGCAAGCAGGTTATGAGGTTTTCGTTTATGTCCCTCTGCCCGCTCCTCCCCGTTCAGGGTGTAAATAAGTGCCTACGGGCATTACAAAAAGAGAAATTTTGAGTTAAAAGTTATTTGAAATCAGTGATGAAGAAGACAAAAATTACTTTAACCAGGTTCTTGGGCACCCACTGCATCTCGACGCCATTCCATTCGAAAATTTGCCCTCCGTGTCCATATGCTCATATCATATCGTTCACGCACATATAGAAGAACTTCTTACTATTATACAGTTGTATTGTTTCCTATCTAATATATAAAAAATCGTAAGCGCAATTCAAAAATGTGCACATAGCGGGAAACCACTTGGCGGTCTCGTAGCGCGCGCATGCTACTAGCACCTTCAATTGCTGGTTCGCTAGTTCTATAGAAAATGTCAATTAGAAATCTCGCCAAAGAGAAGTATCAGAGTAAAAAGGATGCACCAGAAATATTATAAGCTTTCCTTCCGTATTTGTATTGTGCTCAAAAAAATTCTAGTTCAAATCGCAAACGTTACAGCTATAAACTCATACGAATTTATCCGGACAACGACGATACGTTGAAATACCTTAACACACTTTACGACGGCTTTTCACCGTACGAATTAGATTTCTGGCAACCACCAACGCATATCGGTTAGTTCTGCATGTTTCATTCTAACAAATTCATTCGGGAGATGTTACTCAGCATTTCTGAAAGATATTTACTCAACACTTTTAACATGCATACCTTAGGAGGAATTGTCGATTTGACTGTGGCTCCATCTGATGCACCGATATTTGTGAGAGATCTAGAGTCTAAGAATGTTAATTACATCGTAGCTGTTAACGACTTAGCGCAGTAAGTATAGTTCTATTTGGAAATAAAAACAATGTAAGAAAGAACGAACGTTGAAGTTTTGGGAAGTACGATAATATATGATTTTTATAAGAGATGATATATGCAAAAGTAACTTTGCGATCCAGAGTTGTCCGCGTGCCAGCGCCATGTTCGCTCTGCAGCAGCTCCCGAGTGAACGAGGCCGTATTGATCGATCGGCGGTGCAGGCCCGGTGCTAGCACGGCGCTGGCACAGGCCAACCTCAACTCATACGAAGTCTGTCAGAGTAGACCTTTGAAATAACATTCTTTGCAATTTTGAACACATTCTTACATGAGAGGTAGCGACGTTCTATTCAGAGCCATAGAAAACGAGCGATCACCAGAAAGATTTCACCATCCTGAGGAAGGTGGATACTCGTACGATAAGTATAACTCACTCGACGAGATACACAGCGAAATGATGCGGCTGCGCAGGGAAAAACCCGACATGGTCTCTCTCATCGACATCGGAGAAACGCATGAAAATCGCTCGCTGCTGGTGATCAGGGTAAGCAGACCAGGTAGAAATGGTTGAAGAAAATGAAGAAATAAGAAATCTGTTGCTATGTCAGATTTCCGGACAAAAACCCATCACTGGAAAAAAAGCATCGATGTGGATCGACGCAGGGATTCATGCCAGAGAATGGATTGCGCCTGCTACAGCTATGTATATTGTTCATGAGGTAGGTCGTTGCGATAAATGCCCTTTGATTCAACTGGCTGGCGGCTGGAAGGCGATGCTTCTTGACCTAATTAAGGCTAGGTAATGATCAGAGAGTATGCACGCGAGAGAGACGTAGAGTCCGCTGCGGGCGCGAGTCTCAATTGGGTTACAAAGCCCCGCCTTCTAGCCGCCAAGCCAGTTGAAACAAAGGTTACAAGGTGTTATATTTTATAGCGCAATAGACTAACTGCTTGGTTCACATTTTCATTTGGAATTGCCAAATTCTGAAAAAAATGTGAGATCGTTCGCTGAGTATGTGCCACCACACATGCATTTTTTCTTCCTTTTTTGAAAAGGCATCACTAAGCTTCTACAAGCTCATATCAGTCGTTGAAAATGTTCTATCAACACAAGAGCGCCATTGCTTCTAACATGGCTAGCAATGCAAAATAAATTTTTTATTTTCGTTTTGCGTTGCGTTGCTACAGGCTCTGGCTAGTATTAGGTTGTAACAGAATTTATGCAGGTTTTGAATTCCAACTGCAATAAGTCATACACATCTCATTTCTAAGTAGGTTGCAAAACACCATTCGATAGAGCAAAGCAAGCTCTACAAGATGGCAGTCCTGATTTAGCAACAGCTCTAATCCACCACGAGTTTCGAGCCAAAAACTAAAAAGATTCAACTACCCAAAATTGAGAAAAATCGTGACTCAGTTCATAAGAAACCTACAAAAATTCTAACTTCTCACGTAAACCCAATCCACATAGGGCATCTATACACGCCTTTGCCGTATTTTTTTCTCTGTTAGAAATCAAGTAAACGGAAATTTTCGTGCTTTGCCAAAGTGTTGCTGTGCCGTTCCCACATAAGTAGTTGTATACTACAAAGCTGTAGAAGTACAACCGTAAATTTTCAGCTCTCTACACGCTTTAGTTCTCGAGAAATTTAAATTTTAGCTTGGACCACATGACTAGCGAAAACTGTATTCGATATTTTCCGAGAACTAAAGCTTATAGAGAGCTGGAAACTCACGTTTATACAGATTTGTAGTATACAACTACTCATGTGGGAACGGCACAGCATCACTTTGGCAAACGCACGAAAATTTCCGTTTTCTTGATTTCTAACGGAGGCAAAGCTTATTTTTTATGTGGTAATGCTTTGCTGATCTCTGATGATGATTATGCCAAAATGAGAAAAAAATTAGCGAAAGCCAATGTTTGTAAGCTTATCGTTCTCACTAATGATAAGTTATTACCTGCGAATATTCGCTTGTGGTAGCTTTTTACGCCACATAATCTCCTCTTTACAGCTTGTTCAAGGATACGATAAAAATCCAGAAATTCAAAAGATTTTGGATCATGTTGACTTTTACATTCTACCTGTGATGAACCCAGATGGATACGAGTATTCCCGTGTAAAGGTACGTTTGACGATATAGTCGATAGCAGAAGTATTTATCTGTACACTACACACAACATCCACCGTCCATCCAGATAGAGGATCTCGAGTTTTTCATGCTTTATGATAGCAGTGTCCCTAACTAGGTAATCATCCAACTCCCACCGTAAAAAGTGAATTCCGTACCGAGAAAGTCGCTCCTAGGTAAAAGCTGTCCACATGGCTCCGCTCATCCGTGGGTGGTTTGAAGATAATGGGCTCGAAAGTGGCTTCAGGGTAGAGAAAAATGTCGAAAATCTATAATCATAATGAAAGGCGATTTATGACAACTCTAGATACATTGCCTAATTCTGGACTTTTGTTTTCGGCCACGTTGATGGGCGAAGCCACCTGAACCACTTCTACCTTCTGAATGATTTCCTTTCTTCAAAAATTCATCTTTTGCAGCGGGAGTTGGGTGATTACCTAGTTAGAGCTATTATACAGCATCAAAGCCTCAGATTCTTCATTATGGTTGGTGCCTTTGAAGGCAGAGTACGGGCAAAATTGACCTACTTCAGATTTTGACACAGATGGATGGGAGGCCCTCCAAGTGAACCACTACAGCAACCCCGCGCCGAGAATTGAACTCTGCAAGCCAGGGGGACGGCCCAAGCGCCGCTCCCCTTCCTCCTTTCGCTTCCCTAACAGCTTGTTCGGATGAGTATGTTCTCAGCTAGAAAACGCGCCGTTACTCGTAGCTTCGTAGGGCAGAATTGTTCTAGCGCTCTTTACCTCCTTGCTCTGCGTCTCTGACGGCAGAGAAAAATGGCTCACTCGTCCGCGCCCGTGTCAAGGGGGGTTTCAAAAGACGGGTTTTCCCCATTTTCGCGCTAAGGGGAGTTCATATCGTGATTGAGGGAGCCTGAATAGCCCCAAATCTGCCAAAACCTCGAAGTTGAAAATCTGCCGAGCCGCTGCCTTTAACGGTTGATCTAGTAATGCGCTGTAGTAAAACCGCGCTCCATGGACATTTTAAACGCGCAGATGCTGCACTGCATCACTGCGGCACTATAGTGACCGTCTATCAAAAATGAACTATGACACCAAGCATAAGCATTTTTGATCAGTCACAAAAGCTTTGCCCACCTCGGTCAAGAGGAAATTTTTTCCCGAAAATATAAACACTCTTTCAGAACCGTATGTGGCGGAAAAATCGCCGAGCTGCCATCTGCAAGCGCCAGCTCCATCATATGGTCTGCTGCGGTGGAGTGGACCTGAACAGGAACTTCGACTGGTTCTGGTCATGTATGTTGAACAGCTTCCTCTCTCACTTGTGGAATATTTTCACAAATTTAGCCACCGGATCATCGTCAGATCCCTGTCATGAAACCTACCATGGGCCAAGTGCTTTTTCTGAGCCTGAGACCATAGCAGTTAGAGACTATCTGCAAGCGAATAAGCCTGAGGTCAGCTTAGTTATAAACTTTTGTTACAACAAAAAACATCAGTGTTACGAAACTCATATCATAGGCATTCATTACGCTGCATTCCTACTCACAAATGTGGCTAATTCCTTATGGCCATAAAAGAAGAAGCTATCCACAAGATTTTGACACAGCATTGGTAAATTGCTGCGTTTGAAGAGTATTATTTAACTTTATGTTATTTCTCTTCCAGCGACCTTTGGCTGAAAGGGCGACGAAGGCTTTGTACGACTTGTACGGCACCAAATATCAAGTTGGAACAGGAGCTGATCTAATGTGTAAGTAACCTTTGATTCAATTGGCTTGGCAGCAGAAGGACGGGGTTTTGTGACCTAATTAAGGCCGCTCGCGCCCGCGACGCAGTCTGCGTCTCTCTCCCGCGCGTGCACTCTGGTCATTATCTAGCCTTAATTAGGGTCGCAGTCCCGCCTTCCAGCCGCCAAGCCAGTTGAATCAAATGGTACTCTCTTGACTCAAAGGCTCGGCGAAATTACCAAAAAACCTAAACTGCGGTAGCCTAGAAGTAAGAACAGTACTTCCGAATCGTCAATTTTGCAGATGAAGCTTCTGGAGGATCCCATGACTGGGCAAAAGGCACTCTCAAAGTTGACTATGCGTACCTGGTGGAATTGAGACCGAAAAATACAGCACTAGGGTAGAAATCTTTTCTGAAAAATTCAGCTCACTTCAAAAAAAAAAATTACGGTTTAGATATGGCTTTCTGCTCCCTGAACGAGAAATTGCAGCCACAGGACTGGAAACATTTGAAGCAGTCAAGGTCATTGCCGATGAGCTTATTGCACAGTTTGTTGAGCCTGAAGTGAGGAGAATAGTGAAACCTAGTGAGTTGCATTGAAATATACAAACGAGATAGAAAAATAATAGAAAACTATCCAAGGAATGGCTTAACAAAACAGTGTTCAAGAGATATATTTACAGCACCTCCACCACTACCCAAACGTAAAGGCTATAAAATAATCGAGACAACGAGACGCGAGGAGCCCGTGCGAACGACACCAATGAGTGAGTATAACCGTATTCCACTGAAAAGCTAGTACTATACAGTCGAGTAGATTTGTAGAAATGCATACAGTCGAGTAGATTTAGCGGTAAATATAGTGTGCTTGCACAAAAGGTGAAATGCGGTGAAATTGGCGCGTGAAGAAATAGTTTCGAATGTGACGTCGGCCAATTGCGCGCGCAAGATACCCGCGGTACTGACGTGGCTACTTGTTCACGCGCAAATTTCACCGCAATTCACCTTCTGTGCAAGCACACTACATTTACCGCTAAATCTACTCGACTGTATAGTGTCCTTGCGGTGCCGAGAGTTTGCAGTGAAACTTGCATGTGAACAAATCGTTGCGTCTGAAATGCCGTAATTTTGCGCAGGCAAATTGCTGACTACGTTTGGGCGCGGCAAATGACTACAGGGTTTATCAATTGCAGTGTCGGGTGCGCCAGCACCTCCACTCCTGCGCGAGACTTTGCATCTCTTCAGCGAACATGCTCTTCAATCTTCTAATCGATTGAGGTTCTGCCTTTTCCACGCTCGGCTTGGTGAAGTGATCAGAAAGCATGTTTGCAAAAGAGATGCAGAGTCCAGACGAAGCGGCGCGTGGGAGCGGAGATACTGGTGCATCCGACACTGCAGTTGATAAGCCCTGTATACCGCGCAGACTTTTAGCCCGAGGCCATTCACAAATCGAAAGTGTAGTCGGCGATGTCTTCAAATTTTCTTATACCTGATCACGAAAACTACGAAATCCCTATTCAAGCAACATCCACTGTAACCCAAGCAAGCACAACATTGGCGACAACGTCGACGTCTACGACGACGCCTTCGACCACGACAACATCAACCACGACGGAGCAAACTAGCACTAGCACGACGACAGCTAGCACACTCACAGCAGCAGAGGAGAACACGGCCATTCCAGTCACAACCACCACGAGCGATTCATCAACAGACAGCGACGGCTACCCTGTGGTAAAGTGTGTTGATTACGGTAGTTACTGTAGGCTTTGGGGTGTACTGGACCTCTGCGATAGGCAGTCTGTGCTGAGTATCTGTATGAAAACCTGTCATCCAATTTGTAAATCTTGAGCAACATAGATTCAGTCTAAGTATGGCACATTGTCACTGTTGAATTATTGGTTAATTAGGTGTGTGACTTTTGTTCATTTGTATAATATATGTATAACCAAGCTATTGGTTTTCACATTGCAATCTCTTCTTTCAGACTCACAATGTTTTGGTGTTACTCCGTTCACATCACCAGGTAGGCCATGCGACCCCACCCATAAGCAATCGAGTCTGCGGTTTCAAACCGTGACTCTCTTACGGTCAGGATAAGGCCCGGTTCATCAGCAATCATGCGGAATCCGAGGGCCTTTCACCGTGTCTGGCGAGGTTTATCGGATACCAGTGCGTCACCTCTGCTTCGCAGAGGTTCGCACTGGCTCTACTATCTATGTGCCTTTCTCATCCTCGTAAAATCATGGCACTGGAACTCACCGCGCTATGCCGACTACTACGAATAAAATGTAAACAATCACTCATTTAGAAAGTATTTTCACGTGAGATCGGTGATTTCGCATGGATGAAACTTTTCGCAGGAACATAAACGCAAATTTGAATAGGTTTTTGGATTTGTCATTATTTGGTAGTCGCCATGAAGGTAATTATAACCGTGAGCTACATCTCTGTGCGAAAATCTTCTCAAACGCTTAGCTAGAACCTTGGCAAATTGACCATTTACACAACCAATTCGTTTTGGCGCCGCTTTCGTTATGTAGTAAACTTTCAAGCACTTTTCTAGCTAAACTCCATCGCTTGCACATTTGCTTACCAAACTCATCCACGACTCTGAAAAAGTGGTGATACGGACCGAATTTTGCGGCACAGAAGCCAGGTGGATCCGTTTGGCGCGCAATTTCTGAGGGATCCACTCAACGAATCTAATCGTGCTTTTGCATATTGGGCTTTCATGAAGGTAGCATGCGCTATGCAAAATTTGGGCTTAGAACGTTTGCTGGAGCACGCTCTACGAATTTCGTGACAGACAGACGTACACACAGACAGACAGACAAACAGACGTAAACAACCCTTAGCCCGTTATTATTAAGTCATAGATTACCATGGCACCCGTAAGAATAGGCTAGTAGGTAAGAAGTAAGTGTTAGAAAAATTCCGCACAAAATGCTTGTTCATTCCTTTTTTTCCAAAACGCTCAGGGCGGAGCGAGGGGGAACGGGGCCGGGGAGAGCCATCCCCCCCCCTTCCCGAAAATAGGTCGCGAAATTTTTGAAATTTACTACATGGGTCGTGAAATGTGCAAGTTGCTTATTTATTTTTGTAAAATACTACGGGGGCGTGGCAGCCTTCATGCCCTTTTTTTCTAGATTTTAGTGGTTACGAGCCAGCAAAAATTTTCGGAAGCATCCTAAGAATTTTTTCAGAGTGCGTGGCTAGCTCCACGTACCTTCACTTAGAAATTTTGCCGCCTCCCCCCGACGGAAATCCTGGGATTGCCACTAAAAATGCTACATAGTAAATCACATACACATTTGTATATTAGTAATTAACATGGGGAAGAAATATGAATGTGAAGATCGCCAAAATATTTTTCAAACTTGAGAGGTCGTAGCTTACTCTGAAATGTACTGAGGAAACGACTTGCTTACTGTATATCTCTTTGAACATTAAAGTTAGGCTTGGATTAGAAATTTTTCAAAATAAACTAATGATAAAATTAGAGATCTCACTTTTTCATCATTCAGAAAAGACAAAACTCGTGATTTTCTAGATTTTCTCGGCACAGAAGTTTCAAAATTCCTTCTCAGGAAGCACATTGTAGCTAAACTTCGCAGTTGTCATGTACATGTTTCCAAGTTAACTAGTCGTTTTCTATGGATTTAGAGAAAAGAGAGTGAAAGTGAGTAAGTATTTTTGATCTCTAATCTCCGAAAGCTTATAACTCTGAAATGAGAAGAGATTTAGTAGTAATCATTGAAAAGTAATTATTTTTAGTGTGAAAAGGTTCCAAGGAAAATGTTTTTGAAACAGAGTGAGGAGAGGTAAGAAAGACGTGCATAAGAAAAACATGTTTACCAGTAATGAATCAACCTAATATAGGGGGTTTGAGAAATTTCTGAACCAAAATACTTTTGTTTTGAATTCTAATGCACTTTTGTTCTGTTGTGTTCACCGAACCTAGTAGCCCTACTATTATATCAACAACATTTTCCTGGGCGTTTCTGCGAAAAGGTTCCGTAGTACCCACTTTTTTCGGTTTCTTTGAGAAGGCGGAAAAATGCCTTTTATGATTCAACTGTATTTTTCATCGTAAGAAAGCACCTCTCTTTTTCTTTACTACCAAATGTCCTAAAGGTTTTGCAAACAAGATTCCTTCACGGCGCAGGAGGATTGCGCCTTGGAATAATTATGGAAAAGATACCGCGCAAGTTTACGTTGCAAATATTCGGCGCAAAATTTTTTGGAGACCTTGTTTTAATGTGCACTTTGTCGTACGAAATCTCGTAAACATAGCACACTTTTTTAAGAACTCCTCCTAATTCTCGTGGTTTCAGAGAAAAGAGTGTGAGAGAAAAGACACTGAGGTTCAGTCTCTTGTTTTCCAAGGCACGCTAATTTGATATGAGCTTACGTTCATGAAAACGAAGCACATATTAGAAACTAGAAGAATAGAGCTTTAAATAGTTCGCAGGATGCTATAAAGAATGGCCAGATAATGGCCCAACACTTTGTGAAACCAGCCTTTTCAGAATGAGATATGTGAACTGCATCAATCATCTTGGTTTTATAGCAAGTTGAAGAAACTGCAGAACTTGTTGCTTGTTCATTCGATGGTCTCTTCAGCGAGCGCAATAAAACAAACGTGAGTGAAGATCTGAATCGGAAGTACTCAAGGCTATATGAACCAGGCGGCACGCGTTGGTTTGAAGCGTTTCTGGAAACGGAGTCCCCCATGACTTCGCGAAAATTTACCAAGTCCCTCTTGACGTAAAAATCAGTAGGGAAACCCTTAGTTAGTCAAAATAACATTAAAAAGCGAAAAAAGCGCATTTTGAGGTAACTAATACAACAAAAAAAGCAAAAAGAAAACATTTCGAGTTGATTAAAGGCTCTGTCATTGGGTAGTGTACCATTTTAGCGCTCAGAATGTTGAGAACCTCCTAGGCCAACCAAATCTGTGGCCTCAACAATCTGGCAGTGCATTTTTCGCCACATACTTCAAAGGACACCGCGTGTGATTGGAGCGCAATATCTATCAACGCGTATAGATTTGCACTACTTTTGGCTCAAAAAAAGAGGAGAGGCAATAGTTTGATTCGCTCTCTTCACTATATACTGATTTTTGAGCGTTTTAATCGTCCAAATCAAAAAGGTCCAAAACTTATGTGAACTCTCCGAAATTTATGCTCCGAACCAACCCAGTTGGTTCGGTGGTTGGTTTAGAAACCAACAAATCCTGAACGGCTATTCAGACACATAAGTTTTGGGAACTTTTTACATAATATAGTTTGGAGTAATATTGTATACTCATAGCCCAAATTCGGAGCCATGTGATTGTTTGTGCGCTGTAAACAAGCCATTTGTTTGTTTGAGTCTTGCGTTTGAAATTCGCGCGCTTGCGAATAAACACGTTCAACTCGTGAAACCTGACATGTTCGTCGTGTTTTTTTTTTGGCGCTTCCTCCACGACCTCATAAAAACGATGTCCCCGTTGCTTCTAACTCCAAAAACGAAGTCCAGTTTGACCCCAAACCATCGGTGCCGGGCCCTGATATGAACTGTCCAAACACCGTACACCAAAATATACATAGATATTAGAGTGATCGGAAAGTAAGGGTAAAGCTTGATTTTTTTCCTTTTCGCACTTTTTATTTTGTTTTTCAGTAACTAACCAGGCAGCAGCTAAATGTCACTTATATGAGTGACCTTCGTCTACCATTTTGGCAACGGGGTACCGCTACTCTCCCAATCCATTAAATGGCCCCTAAAATTAGTTGGAACGAGTTTTTTTGGATATCTTTTATAGTTCCGCTGCTAAACCGCAAAGTAACTGAACAATTAGCACACCTTTGATCTAGTACATGTGCAACAAATTTCAATTTTGCAGTGTTATGGCAAAAAACTTGAGAAAATCATCTTTTGGTCCTTAATTTCCAAAAAGAAAAAACCGAGGTAAGTTGCATATGGACGTATAAAAATCGAAAAACCCTCTCAAATGGTGACTTAAAGATGTAAACTCATATGCAAAATATGTATTAGTTATCAAGCATTCCCTTATCCAGCTCTAACTTAATGCCCTGTTACTACGAAGCTGTGGTGGGTTTGCTGATAGCCCCCTATACAAGCCGGATACCCTAATTGACCTGAGGTATTTTTCTGGAAAGTACTGCTTGGAATTCATAACTGCTCAAAATGATCAACTTCGCAGGATACAGATCGAATCGATGGGCGCCTGCCGCTAAGTGCGTGTTACCACGCAGATTTCTTGGCTCATATCTCGAACTCTCCAAATTGCTCGGAATCCACCATATACTTTGGACTTTGCTATCCAAAAGGCACTTTGCTTGCCAAAGTGCTGAATATTATTAGACACTTATTAATGATACAGTATCTTGTCTAAGATTTTTTCTAATAACATTAAACGGTTAAACTAGACTAACTTCGGTGGTTTCAAATATCCAGAAATATGTGAATTTTCTGAGAAGAAAGTTCATAACTTTCTTCAGAAAATCGTTTCCCGTATATCAAGCGCTAATTAAAAGTCAGCGTTTCAAGATATATCATGGTGTACAAATCGCAATTCAAATGGCCACAGTGACCAAGTATCATTTACTTGTTAGACTTAGGCCTAGAGCTTCCGAAGTTTTATTCATCAAGCCCTCTCCCCTCTCCTGCTCTCCTCGCGTTAAAGGTTCTTAGGCTTAGTCTCCATTTACCCAGAATGTCACACTTTGATTTCTTTCCTGAAGCAATTTGACTTCCTTTCTATATCTCAGCCTCACTACTCTTTTTTTGGTGTATCACAGAATCTTCGATTACACAAAGTAACTGGTCATGCACACTTGACATCCACATATGAATCATCGTATGGATTTCCAAACATAATCTTAACATCAAAGTCCAATGGCGGTATTCAATGGCAATGTGCATAGTAAATTTCGCTCCAACATCCCAATTGGGGAATAGGTTATCAAGAACAAGCATGCTGTACCTTTACCACGAGTTTCTCCTTCGCGCGTTGATGATATGACTTCACCAGTGCTTCACCTCTGCTTCACAGAGACTCGCACTGGCCATCAAGAAACGATGGTAAACTTGCGATGTGAAGGCTTTCTTGTAGATTATTCCCAGGTTGACTGCGGTGAGAGAGTTCTGATCAAAAATGAACCATACTCGCTATCAGAACCTCACTTGCCGCAAAGTATTGTAAATCACTCACTGTAATTTCGTAACAGACAGACTTACAGGCCGACAAATAAGCGGCTTATTATGAGTCATGATAACTTTCTTTGGAAAAGATAAGCACAGCCATATAGAGGAAGGGACTAGTAGTTAGGTATTAGGTTGTCCCAAAAGTTTTGTCGGTTTTTTCGATCGACTAAAAAACTCGCACGATAAAAACCCTGTAAAGGTGCTTTCGAAATGGCTTTTCATTCCCTTTCTGATGACAATGTCGTAGCATAATCCTCTGAACATTTTCTAATAACTACAAATTTTCCACACGTCATTTCTAACTGCTCAAAGTTCGGCCGATTTTAAAGATAGTATTTCCGAATCCCGGAGCTCTGCTAAATTTTTCTAATCTGCTGTTAAAAGAAAAAGAGATACAAAGTATGGTAAAGTCATGAAGCATGCAAATGCAGCAGAAACATGAAAGCTTTCGAAGTTTTGCGAGTTGAAGCTTGATTGTTACTGGGCTTATGCAAAATAATCGAGTCACTTCCACTTTCAAGAATCAATTTTTTTTTTTGAATTCTCGTTGCTCATATGCTCTACACGCGCTCGAAAAGCCGGCATTTTGGTGATGTCACAAAAAGTTAGTTTGCAAATGAATATGATAGTGGAGTTCAGTATGTAGAGTTAGCTTATAATACGAAGTTTCACAAATCTGAGGCCAATTTTAGCATTGATTTGCTATCCCGTGGGCGCCAGATCTCGATCATTAACCAAATAGTTACTTTTCTACTTTTTTACGAAGCTTACTGAGCCAATCTCTGACAATTGATCTGCAATAGTTCTGGGTCAGTGCATTCAAAGTCTACGATCGACACCTTCCTTGCTTGCGATCCTGTAAAATTCCAAGCTATGGTTTTGGGAAAAGACTTGGTTCTTTCCTGTTATCAGGAATTAAACATTTCTGCTCGCTTATAGCTCACATTGCCATCTACATAATGCCGAAGTTTGAGTAAGCCAAATGCAAAAAGAGACAAGTTATAGACAAAGCTGCAAAACTTAGTAAAGAACCTGATAGATAATTATGCAGACTTCGAAAACTTGATCCATGTAATCTGAAATGAGTGTAGCCAAAGGATTACTACAACAACTACCACCGCTTTTTAGAGATAATAAAATAAAAAACTCTAAACTTGCGGAAAATCTGGAACGTAAAAAATGCTCAAAGAGCCATGGCGATAACATTGCAATGATTGCATATATTAGTGAGAAAATGCAGCTATCAGAAATAGGATGAAAATCTAGGCCGAGCGATACTCCTTTCGATCGTCGACTAGCCTATGTGTTTTGGTGACCGGTTGAAAACCGCAAAATTTCCGCAAGAGCCTAATAAATATTACATTAGACCTTCTTGAAAACCGATTACCAGCACAGATCCGTATTTTTATAAAGGCTACCGTATGACAAACACAGAAGCAGTATCAGTTAATCGGGCGCAAACGCGGCGCGCGCATATCTTCACCTTTACAAATCCTGCGCCTCTTGCGCTCTGCGGCTAATAAAGCCGCGTTCGCGCTCAAAGTTCGTCACGCACGCCTATACTTAATTTATAAATAATTTCCATCTCAATAACAGTGAATTTTCGTATGCGATCTGCGTGATATTCAAAATCGAAACCTTGGCACAATCGACTCGAATAAGTTTCAAATTTTGAAGAACCTCAAATTATTATGCGATTTTCGTTGTCAATAACTCTGTGGGTAGTCGATTATTTGCTTAGCGTCGAATAGTCGAAAGAATGAATATCGAATCTTATATATAAGCTGAATGCCTGTCTGTCTGTATGTGTGTGAGTACCAGTGGCGTACCGAGAGGGGAGGCGCCCCCCCCCCCCGAGAATGGGTCGCGAAATTTTTAAAAGTTATTTATATGATTTATAAAAATGTGCAAGTGACTTGATTATTTTTGTAAATATAAAATGATTTTTGAAAATTTTTGAAAATTCAAATTAGCCTGTTGGGGACCCGCAAAAATTTGAGAAGCACTCCTAAAAATTTTTCGGAGTGCATGGCTAACGCACCTTTAGTCAAAAAAATTTTTGCCCCCCCCCCCGTGCGGAAATCCTGGGTACGCCACTGGTGACTACGTATGTGCGGAATGGAATTTTTTATTTCGGAACCGATTGGACCAAACTTGGCACATATATACTTCGGGGCGGGGAGCGTGTCATAGGCTACTTTCGTCATAGATCGACATCGATTTTATCGATTTTGTCGATTTTTTGCAAAGTTCGAGCTACAGGGCTGGGAGTTAGCAAAGGGGGTAAGTGAGCATGGCGATTCCGAATACAATATTAGTTTTCGGAATTATCGATTTTTTGCAAAGTCTGAGTTACAGGGCTGCGAGTTAACACAGAAGGGTAAGTGGCATGCTGATTTTGAAAACAACACAGAGAACGGGAAATGAAGTGTAGAAGTGGGCACAGGGAAAGGCTGTACAGGGATAGGGATGGGAGCTTTATTACAGTGTTTTGACAGGGCCGAGCGGAGCCGGGTAACCAAGCTAGTATCCAATATAAAATAGTGATCGAAATCTGAAAATTGTGAACTTTCCGAATCCTTCGCATTCGTCTGTTCTATTCGAAAGGTCAACATGATTCGATTTGGACTGTAGTGTGCAGGCATAACACGTAATAAGTAAGCCCCAGTTTATTTAAAGATCCCATAAATCAGCCAATAACGCTTGTAACAATGATTTACAATTGATTGACGTGCGCAAATGAATCGGAGATGAGTGCACGAGAAAACTCAAGGAGAAAGACTTCATACAAATTACAAAATCTACAAAGATGTTGATCCGCTGTCGTATTTACAGTCATAAAAGAAGACATGCATGTAACACAAAGGCAAATGCGTAATACACAGAAATGGCATACATGGGCAACCTGTAGGGACATCCTCCAACAAAGAATTGAGACGCATCATCGATGTGCGTTAGGATGGAAATTGAAATACGAACAATAAATTGGACTTACAAGAGGATTCAAGTAGCATTAACATGGGCTGCGTCCCGATGCAAAATTCAGAAGAGATATATAAGAAAGAATATAAAAGCGATATGTTGGTATGCTGAGAAAAAAAAGAAAAAACTACTTGATTTATTCAATGCGGACACCGCAAAATTCTTTTATAGTCCATATGGTAGCATGTTTCTTCATCGACATTGTCCTCCATTAGGTACTTGGAGATAAATTCGAGTTGAAATACTTTGGCACCAACGCTGACTAGCATGTTTAGCTCCTAAACAACCGTTGTTAATCGAAAGAAAAAAGCGGACGAATTCGCCCTGAATAAGAAAGTTAAACTCACCTCCAAATTCCACAGACTACTACCGCATACCACAGCATGTGTTGGGCGGAAGACAAGGGGAGCACCATCGTTAGACTTTCTTGTTACTACTTCAGCCCCTCCTGCTCTGAGCATTGGAATCAGACCAGCAGCCTTATCGTCCGAACAATATAGAATGCAACGCCATCCTTCAAATGCTCCCACTTTCTGGAAATGGAAGTTCGAAAAGCAAACTGTAAAACATCCGCGCATATCAAATCTACTTCGGAAGAGTCATTGCTGCGCAGTTTCAATCGCCATCGACGGCAAGCACGTGCTAACTTCATCTCTCTTTCCGGCAAATTAAGTCCCGCCAGTCGCTCAGGATTACCGACTTCAAAATCGACCTCCTGAATGATATTATCAGACGAAGCCATTACGTAGCATTAAATAATGTGAAAAATTATTACGGGCGACTACCTTACCGGCAGCCACTTTCCTGCAGCGAGACTTTTGTCTATGTAGTCTGAACCGACGACCCATCTGCCGCTTGCTATGCACCCCATGAGTTTCGAGCCGCGGATCTAAAAATACACTCACAAAGAAACCTCGCATCAAACCGGCCCTGGAAAAAACTGCACTGCAATTGTCGAAACAAACAAACAAACAAGATTTACCTCGGTGATTCAAGTCAGATTTCAATCGAGAGTACTTCTCTCACATAATAAAAGAAGATGAAGATTAAAAGGAAATAAAGGAAATAATTAAGGATGAGCATTCATTACTAACCAACTTTCCACAAATGAGATGTGTAGTTTCGTCACTTAATTCACCCGCATCCGCGATTCCTCCTAATCGAGTAATGATGTTGGACAAACGCAACTTCTCCTGTAATGACACTTCTATCCGTTTATAGCACAATCCACTCGAATGCACTGATCAGCTGTACCACACTGGAGTGAAATTTTTCAGAAGCGAGAATGAAGACACAATGGAGACACCACTAAATCTGCTTTTTGCATCACTGGCCCCACAAGCCAAAAATCAGAAGAAAGAATACGCAGGCAAACAAAAAACGCAGTCTTACGGTATTTCTTCTACGAGGATTACTCGCGAATGCGATAACTGATGCAATGATTACAGTCTGCTGATTAAGTACTTTTAGAAAGTAATTCGACTCACATGAGGTACTACTGACGTGAAAATAAAATGACGAGTTGTTGCGCTGAATTCAAAAGATATCCGTTCTTGTTTGATCGTAGGAATTCTGGCGAGTGGCTGCATCTTCTTTGTCTCCGGAAGTTCACCAACTTTAGATTGCAAAGTCCGTTGACCAAACTCCGGAGCGCTTCGAGTATTCATGTTATTTGGGTGATCTGATGATATAGTGTCTTTCATGGCTGCCTCCACACGAGCTGGCTCAGAGTTAATCTTCCGCAATGATGCAGCCACGGTCGCTACAGTGCTAGCAGCATTCAAGCAAGAAGAAACTGGTGCCTGAGGAGCGCAAGTACGCTCTTGTGCTACTTCGCCAATGGACCTGAACAAGATATGGTAAAGCATGTACAGCAAACATAACAAGGAAGTTATCGCAGAAAATGAAAAGTTTCAAAGGATTTTGCAGCAAGTTATGGCAGAGTAAAATATGAATTTACCTCCTTTCAGCGTTCAGCGGTCCTTCTTTTATGCATTCATAGTACTGCCCTTTATCACTCACTGATTCTGATGTCTGAAAACAGTTGTATCCATTCATATATACCAACCTACCTATGCCTTATAAACACGACCTAAGCATTTGCTGTAACATTCACATCGCTAACTGCTGCATAAATGATTCACCAGCTTGTTTATGCACATACTGCCTTGGCATCCTTGCACGTCCAACTGCCAGATGACTTATGGTCTGCCATTTTCTCGAATACGCTGCGCGGACATACAAAGTGCGCATAAAAAGTTCATATAACAATGTTTCATATATTTCAATGTCCAATTGAGCCTTGATTCGATGCGCAGGTATGCCTAAGGCTTTAGGTGAAGTGCAAAAAAACATGTAACTTCGTTTTACTATGAATCCCTCAAAAGTTACCGTCTGACGAGTGGAATCGGATGGTTCTTTCAGGCCAAGTATGGCGCTAGATGACAGCCTGAAAAACCCTGGCTGTCAGAGCACGGACACCTTACAAATCTTCATCGCCTCCAGCTGAAAAAAGTACCTAGTGGGTATATCAGGCTCCCATTCAATCAACGGCTGTACAGTTTCATCCGGAGATGGTGACGGAGGTGACAATGACTGCGTCGTTTTTTTCGCCGATGGACCAGAGTTGTCGCCGTTCTGTGTACGTTTGCGACGTCGCGACATTATCATCTGATCAGGGGATGTAGATGACGCCGTAACAGTAGCACCCTTACTGTCGGCTATATGCCTTGCTGAAGTGGAACTCATTTGAGATTCCGAAACATAAGATATACCATACCTATTTCTTGGTTCCTCCGCTCTAAGCGTTCTGTCATTCGTGCTCTCAATACCATCATGTCATTCTTCTGATGACTAGATGACGATTGAGGATTCTCCGTCGAGAGTGGTTCATTTACTACCACTTGCACATTTCGATGCAGTACAGGTTTACGCAAACCCTGATTACAGCAACATTTCAAACCAATGGCTCATAAACCCAGGAAATAAACTCCTCCAACCTTTGAACTAGTCACAAGCAAACTGGTGGGAGAAATGTGTGCGGAGACAGAGGCGGGATCACTTTTGGCGTGACGCTTCGGAGCAGCTGTCTTGACAACGGCTTCCTTCAGGAGACGACCAACTTTCGATTCAGACTGGATGAATAATATACTGAGCCGAAATCATTTTATTGAAAAGGATAAATGAGACAAAAAAAGCAGCGTTTGAAAATTACCAGGCTTTCTTCAGGGGCTTCTGATGTTGATGGCGATGGTATATTCTCTACTGCTTGTGTGAGGCCCTCGAAACTGTAAGTATTATCTTCGAAGAGGAAAATAAACAAAACATTATAGAAGGCCCTATGTACCCTTTGAACTGGATTGGCGGCTGGAAGGCGTTTCGTGATCTAATCAAAGTTAAAGAATGATCAGAGCATTTTCGCGAGCGATACGCAGACTGCGTCGCGGGGGCAGCGGTCGCCTTCCAACCGCCAATCTCGTTGAATCACAAGGTAGATAACTAAGTTTCAAAAATTCCCCATAAATTTCAGCACCTAGCATATTTATAGTACCCACCGTGGCTTAAAGGCTTTCTTCATATCTAGGCTCCTATCCGATGGAGCAGCCGGCGTTCTAGGTACTGCTGATGAAGGAGTGGATGTCGCGCATGCCTGGAAAAAAGACTTGAACAATGAAAGCTCGGTAAGAGAAAGTAGTAAAAATATGACACCAACACTACCAGTCATCAACGAAGACTACAACAAAGAAGTTCACGTAGAGTTAGTGAAAGAAAATTAAAAGAAAAGACATACCACTGTTGGCGTTTTGAAGGTTTGACCAACATCGGGACCAGTTCGACGCGGTGTGGTCACTTTATCATCTGGATAAGCATGTAGTTCTTCAACGATGAGGTCAGAGAAGTCATCCGCAGGCTCGACGCAACTTCTCCGTTTAATTTGCTCCGCTTCAGGCCATAGGTAATCCGTTCTGCCCTCATATGAAGCATAAGCCTCATCCTAGAAACTGCGAGTTCGTTAACGCATTCATCTTTCAAGAATGAGTTTGTCCAATATAAATCTTTTTTCAAGAGTGAGTGATCAATATGAGTATTCGGATTATAGAAGATGAAAGAAGCAAGAAAGGTAGAAGAGGAAAGGAAGAGTGCTCTGAATGGTTGTGAAATTCTAAATGTATTCGGAGGCGGATGCTCTTTACTTTCCCGCTCCAAAGAATGAGCTGGTAATCTCTGAGGATATAATTGACAAAAGTAAATAAGGACGACTTTATTTGGACAATAACTAACAGTCATTTCATGGGAGAAGATAAAACAAATTAATTAAGCTGCCTTATCATCAACTTGAAAATTTTAGAGGACGAATTTTTTTGCAGGTGTGAGTCACGCCACAATCCCCATGTAAAAAAAAATCCTATTGCTTCCCTTGTCGCTTCTCCTGAATTTTTTCGAGCCACTGATGTTGGGCATGCAGTGAAGAATATAAACAATAAACTTCGTGATTACCATACCCGAAGTGGAAAATGATCCTCTTTCAGTAGTTTGTCGTTGATAATGCTCTCGATAATCCAGGATGGATCTACCACCTAAATCAGTGTTCAGTGACACAGTCATAAGTAAGACTAGGATACCTTAAAGTTTTGCCTACGAGCCTCAAGCACACGTTCTCCTTCACTGCCACCTACCACATGGGTCACAGCCAGCTGGGATATGTAAGAATCAACATAGTCGAAATAGCCTTGCATAAACTTACCAGCTCCCCTTTGCTTCGTTTCGTTAACGATTCTTGTACCCGTCCACCGAATCTTTTTGTGAGCTCCGACAAGACCAGCTAGCGTTGAATGAGACCTTTCATTTGATTGAATGAAGATTTCGAATATGTAACTTACTCTCTCGTACTCACTAAAACAGCTGACGACAATCACGGTGTTCAGAAACACTTGGCTTCCCTCTACAGCCGGTATTGGCCTGTAGAGAGGATGACTAGAGATTTTCAGTATGCGGTTGTTCAGTAGACAATTTTTCTGCAAATTATTTTTCATTTTGTGATTAATGAAACTTTCCGGGACTATAAGCATTACTAATATTTAATCAAGTGAAGATCATGAAAGCCCACCACGAAGAACACAGTAACTATTTGATCGTAACTCCCCTTTAGAGGCAAATTCCCACATTCGATGTGATCACAAACTAGATAATGCACATAGGAGGCGTCGTCGGAAGGAACGACAGTACCTAAATACCACAAGCCAAATGAAAACAAGCAGTATGAGACTATAGTTCTATGCAAAACATGGCAAATAAGATTATATGCTTGAAAGATTCAAGATAAAACCAATACCTCCAGCAGAACGTATTTCCTTGGAAGTCTGTGCCTCGGCGACCGGTGTCACTCTCCACATTCGAAACTTCAATGCTCGAAAAAAGTGCAGTTTAGTCGAAAGCAAAAGCAAAACTAAGAGGTACCGGAAAAGATTCGATATATCTGGGGTCGCCGAATTCTTAACAGGTGCCAGGTTCAAGTAGTCAGAGGCGACTAGTTCTTTGCTGGTCGTAGCTGCACTTGTAGGCCATAAAGCAGCTGTTTCGTTGCGCTAAAGTATAGATTGCGTTCGAAATCGCAAAAACTTTAAGGGAACAGAGGGATCTACTATACGGGATTCCGCAAACGTGTATAAAGTGAAAATGGTATGACACTCACTCTAGGTGTTTCCACATTACCAGTCACATTACTGGGATGCACTGAACCTGTATGAAGTATAGTGTCCTCAGGATCCCAAACGTATTCTTTAAAACGAATTATGAAGGATATAAGTACATGCAATATCAGAAACATTTCTGTCTACCTTCCATACTAATTAGATCCTTTTCTCTACAGCAGGCCACTATCCAATCAGCGCGTATGACATGCGCTCCATTAGATTTGGCTTGTAACAGTCGGGCACGCTCAGTTGTGGACGCACTCACCACAACAATGTGGCTGGCCGCTTCCATACCTCCCACACGAGTGGCACCACTTCTATACGTTTAGAATATCGAAATATTGCAAGAATCATTGAACTGGCTCAATAATGGTTTTGTTAGACCACTCTTAAACGCTAACATTTCATCTCAAAAACAACTGCTTATCTGTTGAATTTCAACAGAAATTGTAAAACATTGAAGGCTATTAAGAAAGCGTCGAATGTGAGATCTAGTGAAGTACAATATTTATGCCGAAACAAAGGAAGACACTTTTAAGACATATTGAATAAACTCAACATGAAAGAAATGACTCCAACTGACCTATCCAGTATCTTTTTCCACTTATCCAAGTTCGTTTGCTCTGCTCCGCATATCCACACTCGACAGCCCTTAAAAATTATCATTCAACCCCTTGCACATAAACGAGATGAAAGAAACACCTCTAAAAAATCGAAATCCCCTTTCAAGCAGGCGTCATCAAGCTCATTGATTGGATCATGAGCATTCTGTATGGATGGAGTTAAGCGGTGGCGGCTACCTTCTCGGCGTATATTGGTTCTGTCGAAAGTCTGGTATAAACAAAAAAGGAGATATGTGGACGGCCAACCTGACTAAAGTCAGCGGCGTCCTCTCCAAATCAGGTGCCGGGTCCTCATTATGCTTCGAAATCTGCGTATTAAATGTTGAATTGTCCAAACGTCCTCCATTACCTACAAAAACTGAGTGAAAGAAAAATAACAAACAAAAGTGAGTACCTGGAATCACACTGCAATCCAATTCGTCGGGCTCTGGTACTCGTGTTGTTAGCACTGGTGTACTGCACCGATTACGCCTCTCGGGGTCAAACGCTCTGAGATAAATTTAATCGAATCTTAACCTCAAGAGACAGACAAGATAAATGAAAATGACATGTCATCTATTTTACGACTGGGAGACGCGAGACCGCATTACGGACGTTGTCTTAACAAGATTGAGTCTGTTCTTTAAGCAGTGGTATCAACGCAGAGTACTATAAAAAAAAACTAGTATAGACCTGCTAAGTACACGATTACGCTTGTTGAGACGATGTGTGCAAGCGGTCTCGCGTCTCCTATTCACAGAATGAATGATACTTACCCTTCCGGAAGAACGTAACCAGCTTGAATAGACTTCCTCAACCACGACGCACGTACTATTTTGACGGATCCCCACTCACGAGCCTTGAAAATTTGCAGTAATCAACCTTCAATATAGCAATCTTCAAGCTAACAAAAGAACTAGCAACAGCTGTGATGCAAAACTGCGCAAACTGCTCAAGCGATTAACTTAGTAAAATGGAACGTAAACAAAAATTAATATGTAACGGCAAAATGCCAAATGCTTGTACAACGGCAACTATACCTTCTTATACTTTGCTCCCCTCATATGGTCTGCAATCAGATGAGTGCATTCATTTCTCTTCATATCTCCAGAAAAACGACCTCCATTTAATTCAACGAGTCGTGCAATATCAATGCGTTCATCACCTCCGATACCTGTTGCTGTGACTACCTGAAAATTACATTAACCAACTGGACTAAATCTAAGCGCAATCTTGAATTGTACATGACAAACCATTCGATTGAAAATGGGAGTTCGATAGCGCTGATTCAACTCTGTCGACGTAAAATTTTCCAAAGAAAACTTCTGAGAAGCTTCCCACGCTTTTTCTATCCACAGTGGAGACATGATCGGCAAACACATTCTGCGAGCTTCCTGCGTATGAGAACGCGTATTAAAAAGTTTTTCAATAAGAAAATCAATGCCACAACATTTTTCGTCCTCACCGTATATTTCTTGGATTGAGTATCACAGTAATCCGTAACAAGATGGGTTACTTTCTCTGTCAAACCGGGGGATACAATGCCGTTCATGTAATTTATTTTCATCTTCAACTCGTCCTGCAGAAAAATTAAACTAATGACTTAAAGAAGAAAAAAATCGAAGCCGCTTAGGTAAACACTTACCCGTTTCCCCACAGGTAACCCTGTGAAACAAACGCAAGCTCCAGTGAGGTTGAGGGAATATACAGGAAAGTCCCATCTTGGTAAAGCGCCGCCAATGTTCAAGGTATGGCGAACGGCATGGGCTCCATATAAGCTGAAGTATTAACTCTGACTCAAAAATTAAGTGAGGTTTCCAGTGTGATTAAGATACTTTACTCCCAGTCCCTTGAGATGCTCAAAAACTGGACCGCGGAAAGCAGCAAGAAAGTAGAAACTTTCGTCACATGAAGACACCTCAAGTGCCGTTTGTTCGGATATCCACACAGCTCCTAATCCATGACTGTTAACGAGCTAAAAAATTTATAGTCCATGGTATCAATAGACTTCTGCTGCTGATGGACAAAAATGAACATGCGACAAGCGCTTTTGAATCACAAACGCAAAACCGTTTTTGTCTATCTAGCACATGAAAACTTACGGCAAAAGTTTCACGAAAATATTCCGCTTCATCGCTGGTAACAATCGAGTTGTTTGGCTCCACACAAAATACATTCACTGGTTCGATATTTTCGTCATGGACCTCAACAGCAGGCAGTTGCACAATAATTCTATCTGTGCTATGTCTTCTGTACTCGTTAAGATGGAATCCATGCACTCTCTCCCTGATACTAAGTTTCAGTGTTCACAGACACAGACAATTATGTATAGGTCTTCGCGACTTCCTCCCTTTTTCAAATCATAGAAACCATTGAAACCTCTTCAAATCACTACCTCAGTAAAAGTCGAAGAACTTTGCCTTTTATGCGAAAGTCGCGGCTTCTTCGGAGCTCCTGGAGCACTCATCCTACAAACTCTCTTGTACAAATTTATGACGAAGTCAGAATAGGCATGTAAATTTGGGATAATTACCTTGGAAAACAACAGAAGTTCTTTTCAATGTTTTATTGAGATATCATTACAATACATTCTAGTCGCAAAGGGACTTAAAGGCAGCGGACAGGCAAAATGGACCCCTGTCAGATTTTGGTAGTTTCGGGTAGTGGACCCCCCAAGTACACCGTAGCCCCAACCCCACATTCCAATTCATGCGCTAAGTCCTGAAAAAAGCGCTTCAAAACTCCACCAGCCCCGCCCACTTCCATTGAGTGGGCGTTATTGGTGGAAGTTTGAAGCGCTTTTTTCAGGACTTAGCGCATCAACTGGAAGTTGGGGTTGGGGCTATGGTGTAATTGGGGGGTCCACTACCCGAAACTACCAAAATCTGACAGGGGTCCATTTTGCCTGTCTACTGCCTTTAAGGTAGAGGGTAACACATAGTTCATTCTTGATGTTCGACCACTTTCCGTATTTCATTTGTCAGCGTGTACACATTACCCTTCCATCGAAACGCTAATGGATAGCCATCACCATCAAAAGTAAAGAGCGGGAACAGTTTATCCGCTGTTCTCGACATTACGAGACCATAGTCACAGAAAGGTGCTTTGTGATATAGGCGTCCATTACTCAGCATTGACAGCGAAGCTGGCTAGGAAATAACTTATATTTTAGTCAAAAACTGACAGTGTGCTCAACTACTACAATATAAGACTACCTCAAACGGAAAAGTCCTTGTAGATTGGCCAATTCGTAGCAATTTTCCATCCTCTTCAAAATCAGTGAATACTATCGGACGATCATCGCATCTCAGATAGTTTCGTTCTAACCCACAACGACTTATATATGGGAATTTATCCTGCAGAAAATCGAATCTCCTTCACGCGAATCCAAAAAAAAGAGCAAAGATAATAAAGAAGTATCTCACAGCGAAGCGATCGGTAGTGTTCATCCGTAACTGTTTGTAGAAGAAGTTCAGGAAAGCAACATCTTAATAATGCCGCTTTTACTAGCGCTCATCGGAATGGTCACTGAACTAAACTACTGAGTGTTTAGAATGTAAAAAGGATTGACTACTCGCCTTTGTAAGCCGAGGTGAAATTCTTATACGGAGCATCATCCAGGAACAACATTCCCTCATGATTGATATAGTAAAAATATTCTCTAAATTGAAATAGATTGCACAAAAAATAATAGCAAAAAAGAAAAGTTGCTACCAACATTCCACAAAGATCCGAACAAGGACTCAGATACGAATTTTTGTTGTTTTTTAGGGAAGCGAACAAAATGATAGAATGTATTTGGGACAGATAAAGGTAGATACCGGAGTATAAAAGATGGTGAGGAACGTACCTGATCTTCCCTATGTACTGTCCTTGTGCATACAGAGCATTTCTAGAAATTGTCTGTAGCATGTAACAGTGGCAGAAGATACAGCCCTGCAAATAAGATAAATCATCCAAAAACAAAAATATTTACTAAAAGATGCGGAAGTTCAATTCATATCGAGATGAGAACAAAAAGATTAAGAGTTAACCGGAATTTCAAAACAAGAGGGAGAGCTATTACAAGTCAATGGGACGAAAATGATTGAAAATCGAGGTACATGTGAAATGAATCTGGATGTATTCAACGAAAAACGTCTCCCACGATAACAGAACATGCCATGAATACTTTATTGTCGCTCTATGCTAAATTCCTGAATTCTAAGCTTTTAGACATGACTGCGCTACAAACATAATCGACTTTATACCTAAAACAAGTGGAACTCTGACTTCTTTCCTTGTTCTTTATCAAATTCTGGGTCTTGCGCAACCTGGAAATATGGTATATGGGATCAAATGAAAGAAGACCGATCAAAGATCTAGGACCTTTTTATAGTATTCCCAATCTTTAGACAAAGGTTTGTCTCCTTCGAGAGAAGCCTTCGACATGTGGAATTCGTACGGCGGCTCATAATTCTTCTTATCTTGCCAAAACATTCCCTTTTTCCAGAATGAGTAATCAAATTCCCCTCTCGCCAGTTTTTCCTGAATGTGACAAACGAACACTAAGTTGACACCAGCGCTAGCTTGACGCACATAAGTGATGGAAAGCCCTGCAAACCTTATGTTCTTTCAAAGCCCTCTTCCGCTCTTCCATAATCTCAGGATGGCGCCGCTCCCAGATTAGTCGATGTTTCTGCTTCATATAAGCGTCACGCACATCCGCCTCTCCTCCTAATTCACCGTATTTGATGAAAAAATTCAATTCATTTTCTTCTAAATCTTCGATCACCTGAAAGAAGTTTGTAGTAACGTTCAAAAGAATAGAGCCAAAGATGTTGCGATATTCCGTGGTCTAAAGTTATCGAAAGCATAACAAAAGAGCACGTGTGTCGGACTCGAAGAAAAGCACGAGCACAAACCTTAGCGCATGGAGAAAAATCTGTTTCGTGATAGTTCAAACAGCGGTCAGCGCGATGACGTAGGGTCTGAAGGCTCAATGCAAGCTTAAAAAAGAGCAGGAAAAAATCGCACTGCAAATTCACCTGTAGAATGAAACCATCGACCATTTTATCTAAACGAAATTGCTCATTGGCTTCAAAAAAACATGCCTGGAAATGTACACGGTCAACTTCCAGCAAATTAGGCCATTAAGAAGAGTTGTGCATTGCATAGCTGATGCATGTGCACTCTGTTGAAATGCTCCTGATGTAGAATATCGCAAAATGACCTTGCAAAAACACATAAAGAGGGGTATGTGATTTTGTTTAACTGCGGTTGCAAACATGCCCAAGGCTTCCAATAGAAAACTTGAACATCACCTTGTCGTTAACTCCACACTCGTCAATCTCTGGAACACGAGATAGCTTCCGATGATAGTATGGAAGGCGATTTTTGTTGTTCAGTGGCTCCACAATTGTCTCTGCAAATAGCATATTCTTGATGAGCCTGTTCTCATCAGTGCACTTCTACGTACCTCTAAACCATGTGGCAGGAGCATCAAACCATTTGTGGGCATAATATCGTGCTCTGGGAATGAATGTGCCTCGCGATTCTAAATCACGCACCTTCCAATACGCATCCCATGCTGCCTTTTCCTCAGCTTGCCGTTGTTCAAGCAAGCTACTAGAACCCATTCTGGCACCGTACAGCTGCAAAAGAGTATACACCGTTAAAAAACACTCAACGACACTGAGATAATTCGCAAAGAAAGCCAGTCTTTAAAGCAAAATTATATGAAAGTGATTTATACACAGAGAAAACAGTAACAAAGACAAGATACATGCTGACAAGTAACAAATTCACGTTTAAACAACTGAACCGCGAATGCATTTTGATAATAAACTATGATCAAAGATTCATATATGTAACATGAACAACGGTACACGGTGCACCCTAAGTACTGGTCTCCATGGCTTCGTGCTTAACAGAGTTGTCAATAAGAGGAAAGCCTTTGGATCTGCGAATTTCATTCTCGACATATTCCGGTATATCACATTCCAGTACGTATTCAGACCACTTGATCACGTTATAGATAGTAACTACCTGCAAATGTAAAAAAATGTCTAAACGATTTTCTTGACAGAAGAACTTCTAAGTCATATGCAGAACAAATTGACATATAATAGTCATTGGGCAAACAGATAGAGAAGGCTATCAAAGAAACCATAAATCACGAACGCACTCACATCCTTATGCAAAGCACTTTTTATCCAAATTCGCCCGTTCAGACCAACAGCAATTTCAAATTTGTAGTCCTTCCCTAACAACTTTAGTAACTGTGACTGTTCAGAAAGAATACGCCTCGCAAAACTGCAGGAGGTCTGTAATAGATCGATACAGGATTTTTACCTAATATATGAGAACGCCAAAATATAAATGGTCATGCAGAATCTTACCTTGAACAAAAAGCCTCCAGTTAACGCTCCCAAGCCTCTAGCTCTAGATAAAGCATCCACGCAAGTGAGCTCTATGTCAGTATGAGCGAACTCGTCCATGACCTGAAGTGCTCAGTTTTATGGCTCAGAATGTGCACGACATGAGGATCAAACCTGCGCATAGATGACATCTCCAGCTTTCAATTCTGGCCGATTGCGCTTCGTGGCACCTTCAAATGAAAGGAATGAAATCTAAAAATGTAAAGGATAGATAGAAGCGCTGAAGTTAGAGCGGATTCAGCTGCAACAATGATAGAATATAGGAAATTGAGAACGATGATGTAGCAGCGTATATCAGTCATAGTCTATCCATTTGACTGGCAACAGACCGAAAAGCCCACTGTGGCAATAATCGTCAAATGAACATCGCACTTTCATTTCTTTGAAAAACTCTGGGCCGAATATGTTCTCTATTTTCATTGGTGATGGTGGGGGCTTCTGCGGCTCGGGTTCTGCGCGGCCGCCTCGAATGGGCTCTGCAACTCCTTCGCGAGCGTGTATTTAATGGGTCCAGCTTAGAGACTGCCCAAGCGATATATGATGCACTCGCGGCTGAGATATTTGCCCCGAACAGACCTACTTTCGTATATGCAGACGACTTGCATCGAACTGTATGCCATTGCGTCAAACCCTTTGGGGTCGGTCTCCACTCACACTGCAAGCCGAGCAAGTCGTCGCAGAATACGGTGCTGGGACTAAATGCGTCGCATATGACTCTGATAAGAGATTGAGACTCAGCCTTTCTCATGCTCAAACGTGAGAAAATGACCAAAGAGCACGCCCGCGAAAGAGGTACAGAGCCCAAGCGAGGCGGTCTCGCAAAACTCGAGCAAAGCCCCCCCTCCTCACTCTCAATATGCATAGGGTAACCCGCTATATATCGCAGTTACGATTCAAAAACAGTAAAACTCGGGGTTCTATTCTCTCAAGGAAAACTGCCGCATTTACCTGGGAGAACATCAAAAAGGATAGGCTGTGAGAAACAAAAGTCAGACTTATTTAGACATTTTTCGTGGAAGTCTGTTGTTTGAACAGAAGGAATTGAAAAGAAGGATTCAAAGAAGTTTTCCGTTAAAAATTTTTCTTCCTGAAACAACTTGATTTGATGACAGAGCTTGAATATGAGGTGCATCATCCAAAGACCGCCAGTTTGAAGAGCTACGGTGCAATCCGGATCGTTAAGATTCACTGACCGTTGCATTTTCAGCCGTTCCTATGTCCAACTTGAAGAAGTCGCCAATAGACCCGGTTACAACACCGATAACACGATCGCCCTTCTCTACGACATACCTAAACATTTCCGAAGGTAAGAATAAAGACATATAGAAAAGGCGGGAGTAACAGTCCTAATCTTGAAGGATGAAAGATGAGGAAAGCAGAGAATTTAGCAGCTGTTTTACCTTTTGGAATGGACGCTGACCCAACATTTCTCGCCTTGTTGTCGAACTAAACCTGCTTGTCTGGCCACCAAGCGATCACTTGCAGGATCACGCTCAATACCATATCTGAAATCTATTATCATAAATTTGTTCATGAAGCTCGTTGTTTAGTTAAAGAAAGTGTGACAAAGTTCTCTAAAGCAAAGATCTTACCCGATAACCTTCATCTGATCCTTCGAAATATGCGTAGACACTTCTTCTCCAGGCAGACATATCCTTGACATTGCTATATGCACCAGATGAGATTTGTAAAAGCAGACGAATGAGGGCTCGTGAAATGACAACCTGAGGTACCTGCAAGACCCGATACCCAATAAAAAAATGTAAGATAATCCCAAACGTTCTTTCTTCACGACTATTGTTAGCTCACTAGATAGGATTGTAAGCTTATAAACACTTTATTCAATAAATCGAAATATCCACCCACATTAGCATGGATACAAAAGAAAACTGCAAGATACGAGTATTTACAATCCGTGCTTGAATATAGGTAGTTATTTAGCTCATAAACACGCGTCTTGTTCCTGCACGCTCCTACTTGCGCTGGAGCGCGGTAAGCGAAACTCTCAGTTTGAAGGATGTGCAGCGTCAAGACCGCTCTGACATTCGGGGGAACACGCGGAAGGCGACAAATGCGCTGGAACGAGCGCGACTAGTGGCCACGCCCTGTCCGAGTTCTCCGCCAATCAGCCATTCAAATCTTCGTACTGGAGCGCGACTGCACGCTTTCTACATGTTTCGTTTCTTGTGCGATCACGTTTTTGTCTCTGTTCGTATCTATCATTTACTAGTTGTATATCTTTCACGTTCTGTGTAAACATCTTTGCTCACAAGAGTAATGTTTGATGCAGGAGTAGAAGACGTACATACACATGAGCGACTTAAAAGGACTTGTCCACTGATTCATTAGAGGTATGATTTTCTTCTTGTGTCCTGTGCTTTTCTACTTTTGCATTTTACAATTTGCTTATTTAGTCAATATCACTTTATGAATGTTCTCGCCTTACTCATAGTTAGCATTTCTTGTCACCATCAAATTGTTTGTGCGACTTATTCATTTCATTTTAGTTCAGATATACGCAGAAAGTCCTTGCTTTCAACTTCGTGAGCCATAGCTATGGACTTATGAAAGGTAAGCGCTCTCACTCACTCCTTTTCTACTACATCGCAAACCGTTTTCTGTCATTGAAGGGTCGATGTCCATAAGTGCATTCGAACAGAGACGAGCTCAAGAGCCATTGATGTGAGCATTCTGTAATTGTGCTACTCTTACGCTCGAGTTATCAATGCTAGATGTTGCTTTTTCTCACTTTTGTGCATTTATATGGTTTTTTAATATCGTTATCTAAGGGTCGTAGATTCTTTTCTTTTCTCAAAGAGATGGTATGTTAACGTGACTTCACTCACTTGCAAGCAGTATTTCTAAATACATAATGGTCCCTTGTAGATACTATTGTCGATAATGACTATGTGGAACAAATAGAATTACAGAAAAACTTTGGAAACTCAGTACAGGAATTTTTTGTTTTTGTTGTAAAGTTGTATTCTACATCAAAATTCGGCTTTCCTTGTGATTCATTTTTTTTCAGGGTGGACCTACAGGTAAAATGTACCATATCATTTATCATTGTATCATTTCCTTTTTGTCCTATCTCTGGTCCAATTTCTGTTGTGAATAAAGTGTTCTTTTTTGCACTGTCAAGCAAAACAGCAGAAAAACTATGAAAACTTGAAGCATTGACAAAGACCATAGGTCGCGAAGGTTTATCGAGTTTGCGGTTCGCCTAGATACAAACTAATGTTGACATTTCGCCAGAAAATGAGGTTTTTCTTACTTTGAGCCTTGAAAGGAACTGCTTTGCAACATTCATTGTGTTCAATTCAATTCTATCCGAATGATAGCCACATAACCGCATAGTACACTGACGCAACTCGGTTATTCTCACTTAATCTGGAAGTTAATCGAAATATGGTTTGTGAGTAGCATGTGACCGAAATCGAATTTCGCTGCGAAATCTCACACTGCAATCAGTTAGCTATCATTAAACAATCTACGGTTCTACACTGAAATACGTAACCTTTCCTTCGTACACTGAGTGATCACTCCTACCAATTTGCACACGAACTCTCATGGACAAAACAGAGTAGTCGAGGAGGACATCGCCACCATTCACGCGCCAGCCTATGCGCCACAAGAGCGTCAATCTGTCTAATTGACTCGAGGCCAGCACTAAACAGCAGGCAAGTTGGAGGCGTGGCCACCGTTCCCTCGCCTCTACTGGGTTTTGTCGCCTTCCGCACCACACCCGACATTCGTTCCGTACGAGCCGCGCGAAATTTGCCTACGAGCAAACTCCTTAATGGCCGTTCGCCCGCTAAATGCGCTCGGGTGATACGCGAATTTCGCGCCGCTGGTGCGCAGTCACTTCGGCGCCGCTAGTGCGGTAATTTCGTGCTTGAATCGCTGATATGACAATTTTGTGTTAACGCCACAGATATGGCAGTTTCGGAAATCACGTCCGGCTACAAAATTGAGCAACACAAAAGGTGCTATCGAAATTGTCCACTATGGGAGCACCTTCCCAGTGGCGGTCCCAGGATCGGACCGGGGGGAAAGGAGGGGGGGACAAAACAAAGATTTTTTTCGGGTGAGGGTGCGCGGCGTTGACCACGCACTCCGAGGGAATTTTTGGAGTGCTTCCCTGCCACTGCACCTTCCTACTATGTCCTTGTGTAAGCGTACTATTTAAGTCAAACAGCATTGAGGGCAGCCTAACCACTGCGCCGTACCTAACGCAAGCATCCTTTACGCTTTTAACGTGTGAAAATTACGCTACAGTTTTGTGCACTTAAAAATGTGAAAATTATAGCCGAATGCATAAATAATAATCGCACACAAACTTAAACGTTTTTCTTTAACTATGGTAGCCGTGAACACATGGACCTGCCTAAGTACTCTGCGTTGATACCACTGCTT